CAGGTCTTGCTACACTTAATATTATGCTTTTCCTTTTTTTCTTTTTTCTTTTCTTATTTTTTTTTGTAACAAAACGCTATCGTGGTCGGTATGTTAATTCGTTGTTTTAAACCAAGAGCGACTATTTTTTTAAAAATTTTCTTTAGAAAGAATGACACTATCTTCAATAAATAATTAAAATTTGCTGGAATCAAGGAATTTAAAATTTTATTCAGTGAATTGACAAGCTAATAAATGAAAATTTCTACTATAATGAATTATTATTTGACTTATTTATGCTGTATTTTATGGGCTGAATCAGTGTCTGATTATGTGCCATATCTTTAATTCCGTTTTTGAATTACTAAACGGAATTACTGTTCTCATAAATACATCTTCATGTTTTTCAAATTTTCCTTACTGTGTTATTATTTATAGTATTTTTAACGTTTTTCATTATGAAAATAAAATGTGTTATTTACTTATGCTATTCTTTGCTTGGGCATAACAGTGCCTGATATGTGATATTGTTATTCGTTTTTAATCATTAAACGAAGTTATAAGTACGTCTAGGCTTCATATTATTTAAACTTCCCTTATCTCGAGTAATATTTTTTATATATTAGTATAAAGTTTATAACCTATGCACAACACATCAGTAAAACTACAGTTTATAAATTAAGAAACTATGTGTATACCATCTTAATAATACACTTAATTTTTCAATTTATGTAGTGATATTTAATTATATTTATCTCTTAACTATAAAGTTTATAAAGATGCGTATCTACTCATGTGTCTTAATAGAAACGTAACAGAAAAAGAGACGAGTATCCGTAAAAATATTATTATCAAAATTTCAAAATATCTGTAATGAACTTCCTATCAAAATATAGACATTATTGCTAAACTTAAAAATATAATCATTTTTTAAAATTTTTTTTCTTCTGTAGGTTATGTTGCAACATTTAAGTAATATAATTACAAATTTGGGGAGTTAATTTTGTTTCGAATCACATTTAAACTTTCATAAATATTTGATTTTAAATCGCATAATTTTAACACTCAAATTGCTTGAGTCATTCAGTTCAATTTTTAAAATTAATTATCTTTCATGGAGGAAAAGGTCTTTTGTAGTATAACTTATAGACTTGTAAATAAAAATAAATTAGTTTTTTTTTTTATCAAAAAAAAAAGTTTTAAATATGTATGTATATAAAACAGTTAAGCAAATAAAAAAATAAGCTAATCAAAAATATGCAAGAATGTTTTAAATTCTGCTCTCTTATTTACACCCATCAATCACTGTTAATATTGCATGTGTGTAAGCTGCATATTATTTATTAAAAGAAATAAAGAAAAAAAAAACCTTGTAAATAAAGGTGTTACTGTTTAATTTATGAAATTATGAAAAAAAAACTGGATTATAAACAGCATGTTTTTATCTTTTAATTATTATTAATTTAAATTTTTAAATAAATTTTCAATATCTCAATTTTTAACAAATTTTCAAATACAGACACATTTTTGAAAAACTTTTAAATTCAAAGAAATATCCAATAACACAATAAATACATTTACTATTTTTGCAATAGTTTAGAAAACTGTATTTATTTTTGTAGTTTATTGAAAATATGATGATTTTAAAATTTAAAATTACTTTTTTGTGTATTATCGAATAAATTATGCATAAAAAAAACATGCATATGAAAGTTTAAATAATAGTTTTTAAAATGCATAGATGCTCTGAACAGCTTCCTTTTTTAAACTGTATACATTATACCAATGTTTCATGCATATCGAACAATTAATGAGTCTGACTAAGTTTAGATACTTGTTGCCAAGTTTCGTATACGTCGAACGATAGATGAACATTGCCTAGTTCATGGGGAATGCTAAGTTCATAGACGTAATTCTAAGTTTATATAGAAATTGTAACAAATTATATATCTAAAAATTAAATCAAGAGTATGAAAATTAAAGTATTAATTATCTACTCTTCAATGCATTAATGTTCGGAATCACTTCATTTTCAATACTGTATAAATTGCTAAGTTTCGTATACGTTGAACGATAGATGAACATTGCCTAGTTCATGGGGAATGCTAAATTCATAGGCGTAATTCTAAGTTTATATAGAAATTGTAACAAATTATATATCTAAAAATTAAGTCAAGAGTATGAAAATTAAAGTATTAATTATCTACTCTTCAATGCATTAATGTTCGGAATCACTTCATTTTCAATACTGTATAAATTGCCAAGTTTCGTATACGTTGAACGATAGATGAACATTGCCTAGTTCATGGGGAATGCTAAGTTCATAGACGTAATTCTAAGTTTATATAGAAATTGTAACAAATTATATATCTAAAAATTAAATCAAGAGTATGAAAATTAAAGTATTAATTATCTACTCTTCAATGCATTAATGTTCGGACTCACTTCATTTTCAATACTGTATAAATTGCCAAGTTTCATATTGAGTATAAGATGCTAATTAACCATTAACACCAGTCATCTAAAGGTACTTGAACCCTAAATTTTAAACAGAGGCTACTTGATTTATCTCATAATTACCTCTTTACTTGCTAATGAACATTTTATTTTTTATTTTTCCCAAGTCTAATTATGCGCTTCTTCCTCATTAGTTTCCTAAAACAGCCATAAGTTATGATCGATCCATTGAATACTGATTCTTAGAATTTTAACAGCTCTTTATGATTTTAACAGACAGTTATGAATAGCTTGTTTTTTCCCTCTTCCTATTAGCGGTTACAGAGCTTTGCATTCTTTTTAATAAATTTGTTCTCTAAGACGACGGTATTTACTTTAAGCTATTTTGTTTATACTGAATTTATTTTTCCACCTTATGGTGAGGAAAATGGCCAAAAAGGCAAATACGGAGGGCGTGTAACCCACTTCCTTTGTGGAATTACAAAATCTCGAAAGTTTTATCTAGTAATTTTGATTAAAATAAAATTTGTGCTAGTGTTTATTTTCATGTGTGTTTGTATTATTATAACAGCAACCTGACGTAAGAAGGTATACAGTGCTCAAAAAATAAACGGGCCACTCTGAATTGTAAAACTCAATCTTATTTGTAATTGTTGCCACTTTTTCCTCAAAAAAACTTGAGTCGTTTATCGATATCCTTAGGTCCTTTTCGATTAATAGCCACTTTTTGCTAACTTTTTTTTGTTGCTTGGATTAAATTATATTGAAAAAAAATCGTATTCGAAATAATCTACGGCTAAAAAGTTAATTCAACATTAAAAATAATATGAATATGTGACAAAATTTAGTTAAACGCAACTATTTGAATTGTCAAAGAACTCTCCTTCCACCACAAATTGACGGATTCTTGAATAGAAACATTCAAAATTTTGAAAAGAGACATTGGACATTTTAATGAAAATTCTGTTTTCCTGAGTCTTTCTGCATTCATGTACTTCTATCATTAAACAATCTTAAAAAAAAAAAAAAAAAAAAAAAAAAAAAAAAAAAAAAAATTGACGAGAAAAAGTGACTGATTGCTTTTTTTAATTTTAGATGCTACTTTTTTTTTGGTAACACGCCTTGTGGCTAATGGTTATTTTCATGTTTATTACTTGGTGCATGATATTTTATTTAAAAATAAAAAATTAATTAGAAAACTATCTAATAATTGATTAGTTATTATATAGGAAAACAGTCTAATTTCAGAATTCAATTCATTGACTCAAAACTTAATGAGACCAACACTCCGTTACTGAAATTAGATTTTTAATCCTTAAAAAAGTTATTTTTTTCCTGCTTAATCTTCATTTCTATTACTGACAGTATCACGGTGGAAATCTTTGATAGACATAAATTTACTTTAGAATAGTTGAGCTTGATACTTAGATTTCATGTTTCGGTAAGGAGATTTAAGAGATCCTGCTGGCAAGAAAATAAAGTTTTCAACTGTCGAATCAACTGATTGAATCTGTTGAAAATGGAATGCGTATAGCGAACATATTACTTTTTTAATTATTAAAATACTTAATTATTTATGCGTATTCCATGCTATTTATGTTTTTATGTCTTAATTTTTTTTATTCACACCATCTTTTGTAAGTGCCTTATTTTTATTGAAACTTTTTAATTTTTACGTTTAACTAACATAACTTTTTAATATTTCATAGGGAAACCTGCAAATAGTTAATATAAAATCAGAATTGTTTTAAAAAAGTGTAGGCAGCTTATATTCTTGATTTTCAGAAACACAGTTAGGAAACGCTTATACGGGTCCTACGATCCTAGGGCACCCCCAGTGAATCTAAATCCTTTTTTTTTCTTTTTCTTTGCGTCAGATTCAATTTATGACATTGTTTTTTAACCGTGTAACGCTTATTGGTATCTTGCACTTTGTGGTATTATACTGGAGATTCTGTCCTAATCAAGCCTAGTCTAGCCATGCAAATATTTCAAATTAAACATGGAATCTACAAAAGATTTCTACTTCTATTTATTTATTATTTTAAAAAAAATTAAAACAAGGTTTGATGTTCTGGAGTAGATATTTACCTTTTTGGAAAGATGCAACTCAACTATGAATTCTAGATCTTATTTATTGATTTTTCCCCCATCCCTTACTAACAGAATTTTATTAGTGACGTGAATTTGTGAATGCCATACTTAGTACATGCGCTTAGTAACTGTCTAAGGATTATATTCTTCCTAACTAGGATTCTTGGAGTCTATACTTACTCTGAGTGACTGAGGACATGTCCTACTTAAAATTTTTTCTAATTTCTATAAGTTTTTATGAAAATTTCGTCTTACTGACACTAAACTATATCATACCCAGCATTAATGGGTCAAATTTAGCTTTGGATTTATTTTTGCTTTATTAGTTGGAACTTAGTAAAGTAAAATATTTCATGGAACATTTTTATAATTAACTGCACATACACAATTATAATGAAATAAAATAGTCGAGTACATTTATGTAAATAAATAAATAAATTGTGAGATAAGAGGTAAAATATTACTTTTATAAAATTTTATTATTGTTTTTGTTGCTGTATTTTTTAACGAGAAATATTCCAGTGATTTGTAGAAAATTGGCTGAAACAACATTTTTATTTTATAAATCTAGTTATATCTTATTGCTTTTTTTTTATCCATCATTTAAAGGAGGGGAAAAAATTTTAGATTTGCTCCAGTGATTTATTCGCAAAGCTTTGTCTGGATCTAATGACTTGATGTTCACCATCTTGCTCATTATCAGTCTGAAAGTTACATTGTGTTCTTATATTTTTTTTCTAACCTCAAACAAAACATTCTGTACAATGCATGACCTTACTAGGCATTTTTTTTCCAGTATTCTTTATAATTATTTGTTGATAAAGATCGAGCGCGATGTCAACCAAGTAGCAAAATTGAATATGGTCTCGCCCCACTGCAGTCTTCGGGCAAGTGCGCAAGCGCGATTCCTCCAATCAATACACAAACTTGGCAAGCATCGTTGCGGATGCTAAAATAGTCGTTCCATGTTTACTACAGAGTTATTAATTATTTTTTAGCCATGTGAACCGGGCTTTCATCCCCAGAAACCCCACTTTTTGTTTCTAGAGAGTAATATTTAGTTTATAAGACAACTGAGTTCTCTTTTTCGTCCCCGTTGCTCACAAATTCTTAGGTTCTAATCTCACTCAGAGGCCGCCCTTTGCTCGCCATTTTTATCCCACCAATAGTTTTCTCAATATCATTAATGTCACAGGATTTATAAATCTGGATCTATTATGGTGACCGAAGGAGAACCAGCTCACCAGGTGAGTTCCGTGAATGTGTTTTAATGAGCCGGTTTTTTTTATCTCACTTTTTTTAAATTTTTTCTTCGTTCTGGGAATATTTGTTTCTGTAGGCCACTCCTGATAATTTTTTTTGTCATGAATTTTATATTAAATGTTATAAAATTGCATATAAATTATGAGCACATTATATATCTGACCGTATAGAACAAATGAACTTTCTGTCACTAAATAAAATTCGAACTGGGATTTTTCTTTCAAAAATTAGCTTAGTTATCTTTCAAAAACTTGTAGCAATTATTATGAGCACTTTTCTTGTATACCTTACAGTGTTCAAGTGTTGTTCAAATTAATAAATAAGATGTAAGTTAAGTTTGACTTATCATGCCTCGATAAGAAAAAAGTAAATACTATGTTGGTGAAAAAGCTAATTGCATATTAAAAATATGAAGAAAAAAAAAGAAATGTGCCAGATTATGTAAATTATGTTGCACTAAAAATTCAAAAGCGCGCTTGCAATCGGAAACGTATTTGATTTGGATAGTCTAATAAAAATTTTATCTGATTATGATCTAACACCTAAAAAATTGCAATGTTGCATTCTTTTCAAATAAATCCTGTTCGATCAAAATAATGATTTAAGTGGCGTATTTATTATTTGAAAAAGTTCGATCAACATGTATTCTGAGCGAAAAAGCTTTTAAAATAATTGTTTTAAAAAGTTTTTATAATTAATTTTTAATGAAAGCAACTACGACCTGGATGCTACTTTTCTTAAAGCACTAGTTTCCGAACATGTAATTCATTACAGAAACTGTACTTGGCAAGAAAATTTGTTCTAGTAGTATAATTAATGGGTGAAATTCCGTGGCAGTGCCTAGAAGAACTTTTTTCATCCAAATATTTTGCACAAATTAGTTAATATCACAAATTATAACTCTTAATGTCTCAGCATTTTTAAAAAAGAATTACGTTTTCAAAACGAAGGGCTAGATTTACGGGAGTAGGCTATTTTTATTTTTGTTATCGCAAAACATTTAAAATGGTCTCATTGAAAGTAAAATTTAGACAATCAGTGAATCCAAGTTAAGTAAATTATTATTTTTATTTACAAAGCATAGAAGTATATAATCCAGCTTTTGAGATTTTTTTTTGTTATGCGGGTCAATTTATAGCCTACGTTCTGAAAAACTACATCAGATAAAATCTCGAGAAAGTGATACCACTCAAAAAGTATAAATACCTACACTACATAAAATGTACAAATATTATTAACAGCACATAAATATTTCACTATGACTTGTTGACTATATGCTCAATGAATGCAGGTTAGGAAAATTATTTTCAGAACAGTATGATGTCCAATATTTTGCACCAAGATTTTTGATAATTACAAACATTCTTCGGGTATCGTCAAAAATAAATAAATGACTCTAACGGATTAAATTATTAGAACTTTTTTTTAAAGATGAATAATTTTATGTTTCAAATAAAGTTAACTGAAAAAAAGAATATTTATGGTGTAAATATCAGATTAAGTATAAATGCCTACATAGAATATACAAATATTATTAACAACACAGAAAATTTTCACTATGACTTGATGACTATGTTGTAATTAATATGTTCAATGAATGCAGGTTAAGAAAAGAATTATTTCCAGAACAGTATGATGTCTAATATTTTGCAACAAGATTTTTGATAATGACAAATATTCTGCGGGCATCGTCAAAAATAAATAAATGACTCTAACCGATTAAATTAATAGAATTATTTTAAAAGATGAATAATTTTATGTTTCAAATAAAGTTAACAAACAAAAAGAATATTTATTATGTAAATATCAAATTATACAAATATTATTAACAACACATAAAATTTTCACTATGACTTGGTGATAAATTTTTCGCAGGGAAGAAGACATAAATAGATCTCTAAACATAAATCGTTCTGCTGAGATTTTGAACATTCTGAACGTATACATAATAGTTTTGAACACTTTCCGCTTTAGGAGAATTATTTTTATTTTCAAAGGTTGAATTTTGATTTTAAGTTTCTGTCATACGAGTGAATTGATAATCAACATAATATTCGAAAACTTATTTTATTTTTCTAAATATTGTGAAAGGATAGTATTAGATGGAATACTATGTTGATAGAATTGAGTCTCTTGTAACTGATGCCACTCAAAACTTAGTTTGTTCGATCTTCTTTTGCTTGTGAATTTGAAAAATATTTCGTGGATATGGTTATTCTCATCATGAATTTATAAAATTAAATCATATCAAACCTAAGCGGATGATACTACAATCATTTTCATGCGATATTTACCACAGTTAAGAACTCTAAGCCAAGAATCAAATATTAAAGCGCATTAACTATAATTTAAAAAAAAATTTTTTTTTTCGAAATGTTTTAAAGTTTGCATCTAAGAATGTGTTGTAAACCAGGTAACTCGTTACTTAATTTGTAAAATTAAATCAATATTGTTTTAAAATTATGGTTAGGAAATCGCTACAACCTTTTGATAGCTCGATTTCAATCATCCGCGTGCACTAAATGAACTATGGTTAGTTTACAACTATGGCTTTAGGGTATGCCAACAAGCATGAAAAATTTGCAATTGAACATTTTTTTTTAATTCGAAATTTTCTATCCTTACTGGGACTTCCTTTATAATTTGAAACTATGCAAAAGTAAATCTTTTGCTAGCAATATTTATTTCATCATTTTTAAACTATGCAAAACTTATGTTTTTATCACAAAGTCAAAATTTGTTTATATTTTAAGTAAAAAAAAATTTTTTTTTCTTCAAATTGTAATAAAATGCGATAACAAGATGCGAAATTTATAATGCGAATGCAGATGCGAAATGCATAATTTATAGGTATTAATCATTCAAAATATTATATATTTTTGCTTTTCTTTCATAAAGCATTCCGCAACAGCCCAGGGGTGGGGCAGTCACAGAAGTTATGAATTTTTTATGACAAATGTCCAGGGGTCTGTTTAGAAGAAATTTGGGTCCGTTAACGGACCCTTCACAAAATATCTTTTCATAAAAACGGACCCTTCACAAAATATCTTTTCATAAAAACGGACCCTTCACAAAATATTTTAACTTAAAAACGGACCCTTCACAAAATGATTTTTCTTTTAATCGGACCCTTCACAAATTTGTTTATCTTCATTATTATTTTGTTAATCGAATAAACCCTTTCCAGGGCAGAAAACAAGAAAGATGGATGTAAACGAATTAAGTTTTGTCTTCGGCAGACGATTCTTCCATTATTCGCCCGAAATTAATATTCTGCTTTCCGCAATATAGGCAAAATACCAAATATTTGTATGTTGCATCTCTAATTTAGAAGCAGCAATTGTTGTTTATTTTTTAAAATATAAATTTTTTAATTGTAATTTTACAGTGTCGAGCATAATCTTGTATGTCTTTACAATTTAAAAACTGCTTGATAAGGTTTTTTTTTTTTTTTTTTTTTTTTTTTTTTTTTTTTNGCGGACCCTGGTTGAAAGAATGTGAGTAATTTTTTCACAATTTCACGAAAAACGGACCTTTCACAAAATGTCTGGACAGACCCCTGATGTCATAATTGCGGCAACGTGGTTAACATTGCGCACAGACAGCTTTTACTTCCAAGACAAACTGATTCCCATAGATCTGGAACTAAATGAACTTCAGGCCATGATGGGGATGTAACTCCTGTCCCTCCCAATGATAGTTCATTGTCTTAATCACTGGACACTGTGGCTTACTTTTCTTATATAATTATATATATAACATTTTTTTAAAAAATTTTAAAAGGTTTTAACGTTAATTATATGGTTTCAAAATTTAAAACGATATAATTGTTTATGACTCACATTTAATGCGAGTATTTAGAGGATTTTATTTACATATTTTTGTGAGAAAAAAATTGATTAAAAAAAATTAGATAAAAGATGAAAATGCTTAATGGAATGTAGTCTTTTTATAGAAAGGCTAAATAAGATTAACTTTATAGTAATATGATTTACTTGTCATTTTTTTTAAACTGCCCAATTTACTTATGCAGGGTGCGTAGCGTTTTTAAAAAGTGCTTATTTTGGATTAACGTTTTTTAAAAACCCTTAAAGGTGCTTTTTTTATTCAGGGTTTGTAAAAAGTGCTTAAATTTCTATCTTTTATAAAGAGATTTTTTCTTTGCCGTATCGATTGTCGTTCTAAATTACAAAAAAAAAATGCATGATTTTCACAATTTCTCTCTGCAGTATTTATCATAAACTAGTTATTTTATCATGATTATGTAAAGTCTTTGAAAATGTTTTTGAATTATTTTGATTTTATGTTTATATATTAAGAACTTTAAACGATAGGAAAATTTTTTTATTTTTTATTACTGCACAGATTCTAATTATGAAAAATTTTTTTTTTCGAAAGTGATTAAAAATTTTTTTTGAGTGCTAAAAAGTACTTAAAAGGTGCTTATCTTTTGTTCAAAACTCTGGCTGCGCACCCTGTATGACATCATTGCTATATTTTAAATTTTTTCACAAAGTAAATACAATCATTACAACTTTGATTTTTCGCTAATTTTATTTAAAAGAAATTCATTTTCTACAGGAGCTGTTTTTTTTCTTCTCCCTATAATTTGATTAGTTTTTAAATCAGCTTCTCCAAACTGTTATACGAACTATATCGGTGAGATTTGTTATTAGGCTGAAACCATATTTAAGAAAGATTTGTTATTGGACTCAGAAACTCAGATAAGAAAGATTTGTTATTGGCTGAAATCATATTTAAGTAAATGGATATAGCAATAGTTAAGTAGACTGATTTTGATAATAAATCTCAGCTTGATGTGGTTTACTCGGAACTTCTATAACGATATTTTGATTTCCGTATATTCTTAAATAAAGTGGTTAAACTTTGTTTTCGTGTATATCTTGTTTAATAGTTGTTTTCATATTTGTGTAATAGATCTTAATGTGTCTAATTTTCCTGGGTGAGTTCCTTAGTACTCAAATCTTGGACCTCAGCTCTTCATTTTATTTGTAAATAATCTCTATTCTGTTTTTAAAAATTCTAAATTTTTTTTTTATTGATTTGAAAATTTTGAAGCTTATAATATATCTTTACAATATCTTTGGCATGTAATATTATATCTTTGTGTTAAGTAAGAAATATATTGTAAAAGAATTGAAATCTTTGTGAAAGAATATAGAATGTATCACTTAAGAGAAATGATACTTGACGGGCTTGGCTTACTCAAAATAGAAAGGGAAAAACAGTTGCTACTTTTCTTATTTGTGTAATAGATCTTAATGTGCCTAATTTTTCTGGATGAATACCTTGGTTCTCAAATCATGGACCTCAGCTCTTCATTTTATTTGTAAATAATCTCTATTCTGTTTTTAAAAATTCTAAATTTTTNGTTTTTTTTTTTTTTTTTTGGTTGATTTGAAAATTTTGAAGCTTATAATATATCTTTATAAATATCCTTAGTATATAATATTTTATCTTTGTGTTAAGCAAGAAATATGTAGTGAAAGAATATAGAATGTATCACTTAGAGAAATGATACTTGACGGACCAGGCTTCCTCAAAATAGAATGAAAGAATAGTTGCTAACATAAACAGATGCCACGTTTATTACAATAACAACCAACCAGGATCGAGAAACCGACACTACGTCACTTGCAGGTATCCCAATACAAAAGCAGTTATTAAAATAAATAAAAAATAAAATAACAGCATCGATAACTGAAACACTATTAGATACTAAATATTCCTCTACGTACGTTACAGCTGCAGATTTCTATATTTTTTTGTTTGATTTCGTAATATATTTTTTTCAAATTTTAGGTAAGCATATTTTAGTTTAGTCTTTCAGCTCACCAAATTGTGAGGAATAAAAATCTATTAAGTAAGAAGAAAAAAAGTAGTATTTTTTTGTCCTATGTTCAAGTTCATATTGTAACTTGATATGACGTTTTCTTTGACATTTTAACTGCGCATAATTAGCTTTAATTCAGGGTCAGTTTTTTTAAATTCATTTTTGCTATTTTGTGATTGTTTTTTTAAAGAAGTTCTACAGCTATTGGAAGATATAAAAATATAAAATACTTTTAATGCTAACACTTAAAGATTTTTTTAAATTAAAATTTCAATCAAAAATATCTAATTCTGACAGATGTTCCTTTCTACGGATTTAACTCTATCAATTTTTTTTTTAAATATTCCTTTAAATGTTTCGAAGTAATTCCCCTTTAATGAAAATATTGTTTTTCTTCCAGTTCTTATGTATCAATAAATTATTGTATTTTGTAATACAATAATTTATTAATAAAACTAGTTTGCTGGATCTTCAAGTTTTCTTGATTTTCTATTAATTGCTTGGTTTCATGAAATTGAAAATATTAAATATATTGATTAAAATAGAATGTAAAAGTACCTTACCTACTAATTATTTTTTCTTTCTTTTCAGAGCGATACTAATGCCAGTTTCTTGCGAGCAGCTCGTGCTGCAAATCTAGAAAAAGTATTAGAATACCTTAAAGGAAATATTGATATAAACACTAGTAATGTTGTAAGTATTACATAGTTTATTGTTTCTATATATTGTATATATTACATATTTTATTGCTTCTAAAATAATAATGAAATTAGTACTTTAAAAATGAATGTACATTTATTTTAGAATATCAATTGTGTGATAAAGAATAGTTGAATTGTATCATTAAAAAAAATTTTTTTTGTTGCAAAATTTGAAATTTTTTGTTGAAAAAAATTGTTGTCTATATTTACCAAAAAATTTTTTCTCAAATCGAAAAATCTTTGCTAATGAATAAACTTAAAGTTTATTTTTTCAAGGATTTAAAACATTAAGTTTAAATACTTCGCACATAAAGTTCAAACAAAGTTCATAAAGTTCAACTATTAAGTTAAAAAATATAAAGTCTAAAAGTAAGTTAACAGATAAGTAACAGACAAGTTATTTTTTCAACCCAAATTACTTTCAACTCAGTAAGATTTTCATGTAGATCCATTAAATGTATATGAAATGTAACATTTCATATACATCCAACGGATCTAACCTAAATATGTCAAACGGATCTGTATGAAAATCTTATTGGTTTGGAAGTTGAAAGAATGCCAACTTAAATTTACATTTCATTTACATTCCTTTTTACTGTTATTTTACATCTTTAATAATCTTTACATTTTTGATATTGGAAATTAAAATTTCTTAGCTTAGCTATGCTTAAAAATTACATTTTTCACCAAAAAAAAAAAAAAAAAAAAAAAAAAAAAAAAAAAAATAAATAAATAAATAAATGAACCTTTGGGCAATACCAGATAACCTAAGCATTTTTCAGTTTGAGTAAATTATTTTTGGCTTTCAATTATGAGACGATAATAATTATGCAACTTTTTGGAATTTTTTTGTTGATATACTCTGACTTACTCTTGGTGAATGATACTTTTTTGTTGTCACTGAATTATAAAGAGAAAAACTAATTGTAAATTATTTTCACATTATTTTATGTTTTAATTGTTTCCACATTTATTTTAGAATGGTTTAAATGCACTTCATTTAGCATCCAAAGAAGGCCATGTCAACTTAGTCCAAGAATTAGTTAAAAGAGGTGCTAACGTAAATGCAGCTACTAAAGTAAGTCATTTACTTAACTATGTTACTGTTTTTCAGTTTTTCAGTTGTATTTTCTTGAATTTCTTAATTATTTTCATAGATTTAGGGTTGTTCTTCAAATCATATGAAATTAAATTTTTGACAACTAATATGCTAATTTTATAACTGTAAAGAGTTTGTAACAGTTATTCATGACCGTTTAATTGAGATTTGTCCATCTTTAACTGCTGCTTGTGTTAATTGTGAAAATAGTTCAAAGCGTCAATGTAAAAAAAAAAAACCTAGTCATCATCAAATTGGTTCATTTTAAAGTAGTTTTATAATTTTTGTTATATTTAAGCTTTTTAATCCGTTTTTAAGTCTAGATAATTTTCTACAGCAGGATTTAAAACTACAGCTTTGTTTCGAGTTTAAGGTACCCAAATTCTGGCTTTAATATTTTCAGTGACAAAAAAGTTTTAAATGGCCCCCAGTTTATTCATCTTAAACACTCAACTATCTTACTTGTAATTCATGTCAAACCATATAATGGGACAAACCCTTTAAAATATTTCAACTTTTTAAGCTTTTTGTAAGGTAAGGGAAAAAACTTATAAAATAATCTCACATTAATTAACTAGTTACTTTATAGCAAAAAATAAGTAACTTTTTTTCTTCATTCATAACTTGTGCTTTTTAACTTGTGTCCTTCATTTATGGTAAATAAGTGGTGATTTTGTTTTATAATAAATAAATTGTTTGTTCTTCAGTTATCAATGCTCATGAAATTGTGTGCCCTGGTCCACTTTAACTCTTTTTATATAATTATTTAAAATATGTTCTGTTTTTTTTTAATTTGATGTGTAATATAATTATTGAAATTATTAAATAATGTTTGATGATTTATAAACAAATAATTAGAATTTAAAATGATTGTCTTTTCTTTAATTATTGTCAAATTATATATATTTCCTAATAAAAAAACAGTCAGGGTTTATGCTTTTAAAAATTTTACCTTAATTTAAATTCCTTTTTATGCCGAATATTTATTAAACATTTTTCATACTTTTTTCATTATTTTATATTCATTTAGGTCAAAATAAGTGTAAAATATTGTATTTAGCTTTTGAATACTTTATACTCATGAAATACAACATAAAACACCAGTGTTTTAAAGGTGAACTTTTCGAAACACCGCTGACTTCCAAATATTGCCCTTACTTGCATTTATTGAGATCTAAGAGCAACAGTTATTAATCATTGAAATTTCTTTAATTTACAAAATCAATTATTTATAAATCTTTGAATATGAATGAATACAAAAATTTCAATTTACTTTCAATCGATGATTCTGATAATCCATCAGATTTTTTTAATAATTATTAGACTGTTTCTTATGATTAAAATACACCAAAATATATTTTTGCTTGTGATATGTTAATATTTATCTTAAACATTCTTATTTATTTATTTTAAATAAATATTGTTATTAGTTATTGGCACAAGAGCCAGTTATGGCTATATTGCATAAATAAATATTGAACAGTATTATTTATAATATAGAAGCACAGAAAATTCTCAAAGCTTTATATTTCCCCAGAACACTTTTTATTTTTTAGTTTTCTATTGCTGTTTCCCTCAAAATTTATACTGCTGTTTTTAGTTACAATAACTTTTTCAAAATATTTTAATAAAGTAAAATTTAAAAATTTTTTGGTAATTTTTTTTTTAACAAATAAAAAAAATTCTTTTGATTTTATTTGATCTTGAATAAACAAGCATTGTTAAAAATAGTAAATATCAGAATATATTGAAATAGTAATAATTTATGAAACTTTAATTTAAGGTTCCACTTAATTTTGCCCTAACCTTGTCTGTGCGATTGGGCATATTCTGCACCATTGTGCTAATATTTATCAAAACTTTTAATATTATCAATTTTTAATATTCAAAATGACTGCCTATTTTTAAGTCTAAATTATCTATATTTTTAAATAAATAGTTAAAAAAAAAGATTTATGCTTAAAAATATTAAGGGTTTGCTTAAATGCATGTAGAATATTCAGAGTATTTTTCTTACGAAAATACCTTTGAATTTCATAGAAGAAAGAACTTCAAAAGTAGACTTCTGTGTGATATACGATTGGTAAATTTTGATTTTCTAAGCAGGGATCTTTCCAGACCGAATTTGCTACCGTTTAGCGGTACCTTCACGAATTCAACTTTAGGAAAAACGGTAGTTTCACAGATTTAATTTTAGGAAAAATGGTACTTTCACGAAATACTTTTTCTTAAAATTTTATTTTTGTATTCCTTAAGAAATGATAAATCCATATTTTTGCCGTATTTTTGTGTTGGATTTTTAAATATAATTTTTAATTTTTCACAAATTATGTCTAAATTTTCACAAAATAGGTACCTCTCAGAAAAACCTAGACAGACCCCTGCTAAACTCCTATTTTATTTTTTTAGAAAGGAAACACTGCTCTCCATATAGCGTCCCTCGCTGGAAAGGAAGATGTAGCTAAGATCCTGATACGTCATGGTGCAAATCCAAATGCACAGTCACAAAATGGATTCACTCCCCTTTATATGGCAGCTCAAGAGAACCATGATGGTGTTGTCAAGTTGTTGTTAGCTAATGGTGCTAATCAAAGTCTAGCGACTGAGGTAAAAAACATTTGAATTTGTCACTCAAATCTTTGTGTATGTTGGAATCAAAATATTTTCTTTTTAATTCCAATAATTTGAATCAATCATTCTAACCATTACTAAGTTAAAATATTTTTTATTTCACAATAATTTTAGTTTGTTATTCAAGTCATTTGAATGTCGAAATTAAACTATTTGATTTAATCACAGTTACTTGATTATGTTTGCATAATTTTGTAAACTGAGGTAAAAGACATTTGAATTTGTCACTCAAATTTTTGTGTATGTTGGAATCAAAATATTTTCTTTTAAATTCCAATAATTTGAATAAATCATTCTAACCATTACTAAGTTAAAATATTTTTTATTTCACAATAATTTTAGTTTGTTATTCAAGTCATTTGAATGTCGGAATTGAACTATTTGGTTCAATCACAGTTATTTGATTATGTTTGCATAATTTTGTAATCTAAGGTTGTTTGACTCAGGTAAAAAACATTTGAATTTGTCACTCAAATATTTGTGTATGCTGGAATCAAAATATTTTCTTTTTTTTAATTTAAATTCCAATAATTTGAATCAATCATTCTAACCATTACTAAGTTAAAATATTTTTTATTTCACAGTAATTTTAGTTTCTTATTCAAATCATTTGAATGTCGAAATGAAACTATTTGGTTTAATCACAGTTTTTTATTATGTTTGCTTAATTTTGTAAACTACATTAGACCCTTATAAAGTAATAAGTACTGTTCATTAAGTTATTTTATTATACTGTAATAGTTTTGGTAATCATCATTAGCGCGACAGCCCGGGGTGGGCCCTGACTTATAAAGGATTCTTTTCCATCTTGACCTAATCTTAGCAATGATTTTCCAGTTTTTGCAGTTCAGTACAAGGAAGCCCTTATTTACTAAACCGAGCTATCTGAGTTTGGATTTTCTCCTTGGTCGATTTCCAGATGGCCTAGTCATAAAAATCCTTTTAGATATACATTTATCCGGTGACTGCAATCGTAGCCAGCCCATTTTTATCCTTTAAATTTTGATATATTTGGTAATGTGATGTTCTTTATAAAAGCGGTAAAGTTCATGAATCTCTTTCTCTATAGTCTCTGAACACCACCAAAAATAATGCAAAGGATTTTTTTTTTTCTCGACTGTACCGAATGCACATTTGTCTTTTGAGATCTTAGTCCACGATTTTGAGTTTTAGTTATATGGGAAGTAAAGACAGCCGAGCAGCTTGCCTTGAAGAATAGCTTTTTTGAGAAAACATGGCATAATTAACATAACATAAGTTAATTAAATATTATACTTCTCTAAAATTGATCAACAGAAATATTAATATTGCTAATTATTTTAATCTTTGGTTAGTTTGGAAAAGACCAAATGTGTAAGAATATGCTTATAAGAAATATTTATTTTTGGTATATGTTAGCGTGTAAATAAACTGTGAGTGGGAGTTTCGCATATTACTCAGTTGTATAAATTGAAAAAGCAAATTTCTCTAGAAGATTTTTGAAAATAAATTATTTATGCTATAAACCTCTAGAGAGGAAATTGGAAAGGTAAATAATGTGTTTAATTTTTAGATAAATAATATCTCCTTAGCAATAATTAATTTTACAATAATAGGTAATTTTAAGCATGCTTTTTTTGTTAAGTTTGTAAAATAATTAGTTATGTACTGAAAATGAGCTGTACTAAAAATTTGTAAAATTTTAGTATATTTTGAATCGGAACTATCGGAATTCTGCAGTTATTCTTATGGATTATTAAACATAAGTTTTTAAATTCCTATTTTTTAAACATAATATAATTATTTTAAAACTTGGAATCAGAAATTTGAAGAATATGCAAGAGTGGAAAAAATGGAATTTTTCTTTGATTATTGTTGAATACACGAAGGGAAAAAAATTTATGCTTGAGCTCAATTCACAGACCAATTTTTTTTTACAAAAATATTGAACTATGGAAAATTGTCAGATCTTAATTAAAGAGCTTTAAATATAGTTGCCACTCAAAATTTATTGTTCGCCGATGGCGACTGGGGATCCTATCTCCAGAGTCCTGGTTTTGGATTTGACAGATTACTTAATTGTGTTAAGATTTTATATGAGCAATAAAATTTACTTTGATATTTAAAGTCACTTGCAGTGCAGCAAAATTTTTTATTCATTTATGCTTTTTGAAATGTATAATGGTGTTTTATTCGAATTTTTCATTAATTATAATTAAGTATCCACATAAAAAAATTTCTTTTTCAAAAATTTGATTGTTTGTTGCTGTATATAATGCTTTTTTAATTAAAGGTTTTGAATAATCTTAATTCGATTTAATGAAGATATTTTTAATCTAGATCAAATGTGTGTGTGTTTTCTCAGATAAATTGTAATAATTTGCTTCATAAAACATTTTACAAATTACTTTTTTATCAATGTTCTAGGATGGTTTCACACCATTAGCTGTAGCTTTACAGCAAGGCCACGACAAAGTTGTTGCGGTTCTTCTGGAAAATGATGCCAAAGGCCGTGTCAGATTGCCAGCACTTCACATCGCTGCCAAAAAAGATGACTGCAAAGCTGCAGCATTACTCCTACAAAGTGATCATGACCCTGATGTCACCTCAAAAGTAATACTTTTTGAACGACTGTTTTAAAGTGTATCCATTTTTGTTGTTTTGGCACCGTAAAAGTAACTAAAATTTTCTTTTTCAGAGTGGATTCACTCCACTTCACATTGCTGCTCATTATGGTAATGAAAATATTGCCGCTTTATTACTTGAAAAAAATGCTGATGTCAACTATTCAGCTAAAGTGAGTTAAGTTTTAATGAAAAATACTTATTTTTCTATCGTATTTTTGTTTAGGAGCGACTGTGAAAGAGTTTGGAAAGAGTTAGAGTTTTGATTTGTGAAAGAGTTAGAACCTAATAAAAATGAGAAATGATGCTTAAAACTAGAGCATTTCCGTATTATGATCTATGGCAAAATAATCACCAAGTCTTGGAAACTACCGAATACCTGCTTGTGAGAAACTAAAAAAAAATTACAACAGGGGATCAACACGAGTGTATAAATTGTAGCCACCCCCGAACAAACTTTGGGTTAACCTTCTACATGTATTTTTTATTTTTTTAAAATATTTGCTAGCTTAAAATCCATTTAACACTTTCATGATTGTAGTTGGCTCGACAGATCATGTTACGGAAATATCCCACCATAGCCTTACAGTGTATTCATTATAGAAAAAAAATGGAAGAGAATTTCTCACCCTTTCTCAAAAACAGGGTGAGATTTCAAGAAGTTAAGTGAGGTTTCTAAAAATTAAAAAAACACGAATAGACTTGGAAAAATATTATTTCTTTAATTATAATACATTTTCACATCTTCTAATTGAATATTTTTGCTGCATCATCATATGGAAAATGTTCTATATCTACTTTTTCATCGGCTATTATATTTATTTGGCTGAAAAATATCCGTATTTGTTTCGTTTTGACCGTTTCTACCGACATTTGTTTCATTATCATTTGTCCATTACGGAGTAGAAGATGTCGCCTTAACAATGTATTTGTCCATCTTACATTCATGGACAAAAAGTATAAACGTCTTACATGAGGAAACCTTACCTACAGTCAACACGTGGTTGCAGAGAAATGTGTTCTGAAAGGGATTCCGTGGTTCGGGGGGGGGGGGTGCTCTGCTGTTCGCACCGGTTCTGAACAATACTGATAAATAGGGAAGCTAGATAACAAGGACCGATGTTCAAAATAATGAAAGATCAAGGAAGAAAAGTGAAACGGATTTTATTCAAAATGGCAAAAGACGAAATTTTTTCCAAAATTTGTGCATTTTGAAATTGATTAATAGAGTGCGCGAACTTCTCTCGTTAATCGTTTTTTATTGCGAGAAAAGAAAAAAAATAGGCGAGATTCACGCGTTCTCACGCTGTAGTAAAAACGCTGCCTTATAAGTTTGATGAGAAAACTATTTGGGAGAGTAAAAAATAGATGTACTCATTATTGGTTCAAAAAAAAAATCATGCATGAATACATATACATGCATAGTCCTCTTTATTCCGAATCGGAGCATAGAGCTTCTATTATATCTCCATATCAATCATTTTGTGGCCAGAAAATTTGCCCATCTCCATGTCTTCCCTATTATTTTCAATTTACTTATAGGCGTCCTGTGCCAAGTATTCTTTTATATTCCTCTTTTTCTATTGCCCTAAGGGTGCCAATCAAAAACTTGTTTTACTTTTAAATTCGTGTGTGAATGTTAAGTGTTAAAATGTTGTCAATTTAAATTTTTTGTATTACAGGAATTTTATTGATACATTTCATTTATTTGTGATTTTTCGATATGTTCTTCTTCAATGGTGGGCCATGGTCTTCCTCAGAAGAAAATTCCAAGCTGCCCTCTTCTTGAATGTACTCTTCCAGTTTATAACTTTCAGAGCTTTTAAATCTTTTTCTAGGCAGTTGATCTATATGATCCTTTGTCCTCCTCTTTTTCGGGCTCCTGATGGTTTTGCATTGAAGATCATCTTTTTGGTGACCCAGTCATCATTCATTCTTATCAATAAACAGTCTAAACAGTATATCAATTTTGTAGGATTCAGTATGTAGGATTCATTGAAATGTTTGTTTTTGTTAATTGAATATGACTTGATGAAATCTTTTATTTTTTCTATTCAGCATCAAATCACACCATTACATGTTGCTGCAAAGTGGGGTAAATCCAACATGGTTACCTTACTCATTGATAAAGGAGCTAAAATTGATGCCTCAACAAGGGTAATTAATGAACTATTTCAACCAGATCTTTGTAATAGATTTTTCCCTCCCCCTAATATGTGTATGTATTTACTTTTTTCAGGATGGGTTAACCCCACTTCATTGTGCTGCTCGAAGTGGCCATGATCAAGTAGTAGACTTATTACTTGAAAAAGGAGCTCCAATTACTGCTAAAACAAAGGTATGGTGAATTTTTGTTTTGCGTATAGCTTTTGTTTACGTTTTTATTGATGGTATTTATAAATTTATTATAATTTAATTATAAATACAATATATTAATAATATGTATTGAATTGTTTACTTTTTTAAAAAGTGCTCTAGGAATTGAACATTTGCCTTCCAATTTCGACTGCTTTATTTATATATAATGAGTAAAACTAAACTATTTTCCACGATAGTGGCAAATTTTCTACGAACAGTGTTCGTGTTTATCGTGTATATCTGTTTAGCACCATCTTTGTGTTACTTTAAACATTTTAAATTCTTATTTTATTATTTTTGAAATTTAAAAATATCATTAGTAAAATTCAGTAAACATAAAAGAAAAAATATTTAATGATTTTGCTTACTTAAAAAATATTTCTTGACTGCTGCATTTTAGCTGCATGATTTTTTTTTAATGATTTCTTTCAGAATGGACTTGCTCCATTGCATATGGCCTCACAAGGAGATCATGTAGACAGTGCAAGAATACTTCTGTATCACAAAGCTCCAGTTGATGATGTCACAGTGGTAAGTTACCTTTCTTTTCTTTTCAGTGTTAAACATTGTTTAATGAACATGATTAAAGAGTGTTTCATACTCCTTTTTCCTGAAGTACAATCTTTTTGTCTGAAATTCAAAAAATTATTTATGATTTAAAAGTATGTTTGAAATATAATTTGAAAATCTTAGGAAATTGTCAAATGCATGTATTGACAATTTTAGTGGAATGCACTCTACATTTTTAGTGGAAGTCTCATAGTACACATTATTACTCAAAATTTCCACTATCCAGCTTACCTTGGCAATTAAATATTTAAAACTGGAAGTTAAGTTTCAACGTTTAAAATGTAGAGTTATAAATTAAACTAAGTATATATTTTTAGATTATTATGCCTATATAAAGTGTAACATTGAAGGTTCTTGAAATTAAGGAATGGCGTTTTTCTTCTATTTAAAACTGACATGGTCGATAAATAATTCCCCTCAAGTACTATTACTTTGCACTTACACTTACTTACTTTTTCACTTACAACATTACTTCCAGAAATATTGAAACTGTAAGACACCTTTAATTTAATTAATATTATTATTATTGCAGTAAACATGTTTTTAATTTTGAATTTCTGTATTATTTTCTAGTTGGTCACCAAAAAACACCTTCATACTACATCTGTTAACATTTTAAAAATAGTTGACATTTATTATGAATCTATAATGATATGAATCTAATTGATATGAATCTAAAATGATGGCATAAAGTTTTGTCAAACTGGTGACTCTAAAACTGAAATTTCATACTCTCGCTTACGCCCTCCTATTTTAATAATTTATATATAAAGTATAATATTATTTTTATGCCAATTTTGGTACCAATGGTATCCAAAATTAAGTTTTGTTTTATTCATTCATATCTCTTGATTTCTATAGTAAAAATTATAATCCATTTTCTTTTAAGTGCATATTTCACTTTTAAAAAAATTCATTGTAGCATATTGTTCGTTTTGTATTTTAATATTACTACACAAAATACTATAAAAAACACATCTCTGTTTCTAATGTATTATATAAAATTATCTACCTAAAGTACTATAGAAACTTTACTCCATTACTATAGAGAGTACTATAAAAATTTCAGAAGAAAGACTGTGTCTAGTTAAAAGTGTAGTAATTAGTTGGTTATTATTTAACCTCCCTTTACAAGCAGAATTTGCCAAACAATGTTAGTTGTTTGCTAAGTTCAATGCATGAAATTCATTTCTGAAGTACTAGCCAGAATAAAGATTTTACTTGTCACTATTTTCCAGAAAATATAAGTAATTTTCCAAATATTAACAGATATAACAAACTTTTTGATGATCAGAACCATTAAAAGAATGTTAAAAACAAAAAACTGGAGAAAAAAAACACTACGAGTTTAAGACGTTTTCAATGGTTTCATTATTGTCTACCTATCATTAAAATACGAAAAATATCGAATGATGCAGGCATCATAAATGTTTCCAAGCTTTTAGTATTTCATATTTGTATACATCTGCCTTTCAACACTAAAATACCGTATGTCATTTTCACACCTAGTATTAAACTGTGTTAGGCGGGAGTGGAGTCATTTTATAAAAATTCTGAGCAAATCATCTAGTGTCTCAGTCTTCAAAGAGTTTCCGTAAACCTCTCTGACAGGAAGTTTTAATCACTGGTTGAATAGCACAAAAACTGATTAAATGTTATAATCCGGAGCGTATTTCGAGAATCTTGCTGAACATTCTTCACTGTTAAACTTCTTCAATATCTGAGTCTATGACAGTAAAGTGAACGAAAATTTGAATTTTGGAGTCAGTTAAACACCCACTTTGTTCATGAAAGAGATTTGAGTTTAAATTCATGGAAAATTTCTTAATCTCCTCCATCCCAAATTCAAAACTTTTTACTTTAGAATTCCGACCCAAAATGTTAAAAATGTACAGAGATGTTAACACATCCGTCAACATAGAGTGCAACCTGACTGTGATGCGCATTTACTTAATCTTCCAGTTAAAGTTTAAAACTATTCCTCCCCATTTACCTGTCAATTAAAAACTCAAATTTTAGAAAAAATGTAGTATTTTTATTTGTATCACAAAATTTTCTAAGACAAAACTTACTCAACTGCCCTAAATATTCGGTCACAAATGGCAAGCCAGCCAGTGGAAATTTTGAGCCCTGATTTAGTTAGTTCTTATTTAATAACTTCGTACAATAGGCAAAATTAGTACACTTATCCATCTAAAAAATACAACTGTAATGAAAATGATGTATTGTGTAAAATCTCACTCATTACTGTAGATTTGTATTTTTTATTTGTTTAATATTATTCTGAATTTTTTTTTTTCAGGACTATTTAACTGCTCTTCACGTTGCTGCGCATTGCGGTCATGTTCGTGTAGCAAAGCTTTTATTAGATCGTAAAGCAGATCCAAATTCCCGTGCTCTGAATGGCTTCACCCCTCTCCACATTGCTTGCAAGAAGAATAGGATCAAAGTTGTAGAATTGCTTTTGAAGCACGGTGCATCCATTGAAGCCACCACAGAGGTGAGCTAATGTTTTCTTCTCTTAAATGTTAAATTTATGTTTCATTTTCTTATGCCTTAATTAAATTCGCATTGAATTTCAGTCTGGATTGACTCCTCTTCATGTGGCATCGTTCATGGGCTGCATGAACATAGTAATTTTCCTCATCACAAACGGCGCAAATCCTGATGTGCCAACCGTGCGAGGGGAAACTCCTCTACATCTTGCAGCCCGAGCAAATCAGTCGGACATAATTCGCATTTTGCTTAGAAATGGTGCTCATGTTGATGCCTCTGCTAGGGTGAGATTTTTATGTCTTTTTGTTAAAATGTTGCTGTTATTTGTTTTTTTTATTTTCTTTTGTTATAATATTTATTAAAAGTCTTTCCACTGAATAGATTTATTTTATTTAGATTGCCGTGAAACCCTTAATCATTTTATATTATAACTTTCATATTATTTTTAATAAGTAATTATAAATAATACCGGTAAAATTTTTTTTTCGTTGCATGAGATTTTTTAGTGGCTATTGTATATTTTCACGTCACTGATTACTAATCTGCGATTGCTGTCTCTGTCAAAGCTAAAGTTTTTTTTAATGAAATTTTTATTTGAAATGTACAAGTCTAAAAACGTTACATGTAACAGGGGGTCGCGTAAATGTTGTGAAAACCTGACCATCACTAGGATTGAAAGTGCATAGGTGCTCATGCTCAGAAATTTCCTCATTTCCTCAGAAATTTCCTAAGAGTACTTCCATCTCATGAAGTGTCTCTTCACGTGTTTCTGAACAGTTTATAATAGGGAAGCCCACCTAGCCGCATACAGCGACATTTCTGAACATGGATTTCTATGCTATTTTAAACCTAATGATGTAGCCTAATTCCTCTAAAAGTCTGCCCCAACATTTACGCGACCCCTATTATATATTAAGTTTTTAAACTTAAACATTTAGATAAAAAATAGATTATAAATAGCATGTAAAAAAAACTCTTTAGCTTGTGGAGCAAAACTAATTTCACACTTGAAATCCCTCCCCCCTAATTAGGTAAGATCAAGTATTTATATAATTGCAGCAAAAAATTTGTTTTTTTCAGTGTAATTTTTTCTAACCAGCTGTTACTGTTCTAATAATGTATTATAAATTTTTTTTGTATTTTCTTTTAACCAATATTGAGCTCACTGTTCATCACATTAGCCATTATTGTATTAATGATATGCCCAATTGTTAGGCTGAAATTTTTACTTTTTAATTAATCTATGTTCAATTTTATTCAATTTGCATACTGTAGTTAGTCTTAAATGATCAATCTTTCATTTTAATTATGAATTTATCAAAACTTTTTAAGTATAGAATATCGACTTATACATCCTATTTTATTTTATTTCTTGTAGTTTTTAAAGTGTAGTTTCATTAAAATTCATTAAGATTTTAATAAAAATTTTACTTGTAAGGATGTCTTATTGTAAAGCCAATGGTTACAGTTTTGAATCCTGCTGGGGGCATGGATGTCTCTCTCTCTGTTTGTCCTCTGTTGTGTCCCTAGCAGCAAAATAACTTGGACCCTCATTGGGCCAATATTCATGAATCTTGGCTCAGTAAGGGTTCAAAGGGCCTTTATTTTTTTGATATTGGCCTTATATAGGACTTTCCGATTCACCCGATATTTTACAACCTCTTCACAACCAATATCAGTCCTAAATAGAATTGTCAGATTCATTTGATATTTATATCCATTATTTAGTCAATGTAGGTTCTATATTGGCCAATGTAGGCCCGATATAGACCACTCTAGGGGCAAAGAACATAATGTTTCAATGTAGCGATTAAAAAAAAAAATTACAAGGATTTAGCTTTGTGACAATTTCAGTAAAAAATATCTGCTACTTCGGACTTATACTTTTTCATATTTAATTTTAAAAAACCTCCAGGTTCCAGTTTAAATATTAAATTTTTTTGCTGTAGAGAATGAAATCACAAATAATTTATATTTATCTTCCTTTTTTTTTTTTTTTTTACAGGAACAGCAAACACCTCTTCATATTGCAGCTCGGCTTGGGAATGTTGATATTGTTGGTCTTCTTCTTCAACATGGAGCTGCAGTTGATGCACCTACGAAAGATATGTATACTGCATTACACATAGCTGCTAAAGAAGGTCAAGAAGAGGTTGCTTCTGTTTTGCTTGACCATGCCGCTTCCCTAACTTCTACAACGAAGGTAATATTTTTCTAGGGTTTGATTTCTTAAAAATATCTTTGAATCAAATTTAACACCATTGATTGGATTTGCTATCAAACTAATGGTGTTAGTACGCTTCATTTTTACATATTCAGGAGTTTGTCCAGGCCCAATTTACTACCGTTTAGCGGTACCTTCACAAATTGAACTTAAGAAAAAACAGTAGTTTAAGATTTTCAACTTGAAGATAAACGGTAGCTTCACAAAATACTTTTTCTTAAAATTTTATTTTTGTATCCCTTAAGAAACGATAAATCCTTATTTTTACCATATTTTCGTATTGATTTTTTAATATAACTTTTTAATTTTTCACAAATCATGTCTAAATTTTCACAAAATAGGTACCTCTCTGAAAAAACCTTGACGGCCCCTGATATTTATGAGGTTAGAATTTGCTTTTTTTTTTTTTTTTTTTTTTTTTTTTTTTTTTATATTAAAAATCAAGATCCTCAAAAATTTTTGAAAATTAACTGTTAAAAGAAATTTTTATCTTTCTTAGTATTATATTAATATTGTTAAATTTTAATGATGCTCCAAATTTCAATGCAAAGATTTGAAGTTTTATGAATAATCTAATTCCTTAAACCTGTCTGATTTTATTTTTGTAGTATGCTATCATACTCAACGGTTTGCTGTTGTTTTTAAAAGTTTTTCTTTCTTTTGAATAAGCGAATTTCTTTTCTGAATTCTTACAAATTCCTGTAGTATTCCAAGTAATTTTTATTTACTTTTTATATTTCATATAGTTTAGTGGGATTTGCTTTTTTTAAAGTAAAGGTACAATGATGTTTAATTTATAATTTTTTGATTATTTTAGAAAGGATTTACGCCTTTGCATTTGGCCGCTAAGTATGGGAACATTAAAGTTGCTCGACTTCTGCTTCAAAAAGATGCACCTGTTGATGCACAAGGAAAGGTATAATTTTACATTATTTTGTGTAATAAATACAATAGTTTGTTTACTGTGAATTATACAGTGTATACAAAAAGAATATATATCAATGTGTACTCAAATTTTAACTTTCTTTTTTTAATATATGCTCAATAATTAATGAAATATCCATTTGATGCATATAGAATGTGATAGAATCTCTGTGTAATTTCTTTATTATAATATATTTTCGTCTGACCAATTAATACTAATCACTTGACTTTAATACTTTCTTTTTAGTTAATATTTCTTAGTTTAGTTAAAATTACCAAGTTCTAATTTTAATGATAAGTGTTGTTAATTCAACAAAAAATATGTAATTTTTTTTTAAAATTTACATACCAATTGAAATGTTTTAAGCATTGAAATCTACCTTTTAATAGTAATTGAGTTTTATTTGCCCAAATAAATAAATTATCAAAATTTAGATATCTGTATAAAAGATATCAGAAAATGATGATGTTTGTTTCCAGTAAATTGTTTGGAAATAAACTGGCTTTTAGATATAATTGTTTGCGCATAAATGAGTACTTTTTAATAAGTACTGATTTGGCTTGATTTTTTAGTTACTTAAAAAGCTGGTTTAAACAAAGTTATGTGATGAAAAAGTTAGTTTTGTATTGAAAGATTCTGTTATGATTCTGTATTTACTATAAAATTTCGTTTTAAAGTTTTAAGTTTCATTATTAAGATCTGCCCTGTATTATTATAATTACTATTAATAAATTCTAAATATTCTTTGCTAAATCCGCTATTTTTTATTTGTATCATACAATTTAATTTGTTTGTTTAGAATGGAGTCACCCCTCTTCATGTGGCTGCCCATTATGATCATGTTAATGTTGCTTTGTTATTGCTTGATAAAGGAGCTTTTCCACATGCTACTGCTAAAAATGGTTATACGCCATTACACATTGCTGCTAAAAAGAATCAAATGGATATTGCTACAACGCTTTTAGAATATGGTGCAAAACCAAGTGCTGAATCAAAGGTAAATTTGACAAAAAATTACTGTTGAAATATATATTAACAAATTAAGAAAATTCCAGCTTGGATTTTAATTTCCCATTATTTTATTAATTTATTATTGTAGGTAACTAATGTTTTGTGAATCATTTATTAGCCCCATAATTGTTTGTCTACATAAAAATATTTTAAATATCACATAATAAGTGTTTTAAAACTGTTTATAGTCAGAAAAAAATACTATCAACCAGTGTGATGCAAATGCTATCTGAAAATAATTACTATCAACTAAGAAAACATGAATAATCTTTTATTTGATGGGACCTCTAAAACTAAACTCAGACTACCTTAAAATATGTGACAGTCTCTGACCTGCAATCTATGTGTAGGGATGGCGAGCTGTTTTGGTTTTTTAAATTTTTCACTTTTTGTTTTAATCTATTCTATTATTGCAAAATAGTTCTTTTATTCTAATTGAAAGCATTTTACTTTCTTTGTTTTGTATTTTTTTCATTTAAATTCACTTAATTAAATTTTTTTAAACATAAAAAGCTAATACAGTACAGAATCCGTTATCCGGAAAACCAAAAAACCAGAACGAAATTCAATACATTTTCCCGCCATTTTTTTTAAAAAAAATGCTTTTTTCCTAACTAGATTTTAGGATTTTTCTTTCTTTTTGGAAAGATGTTTACCTTACTATCATTTTGGAAATAATCATTAGTGTATTACTTCGTTTTTTCTTCTTTTTAGGATTATTTTCAAATATTATTTTTTTAGTTGGGTTTAACAATAAAAAAACGGAAACCGGAAAAATCAGTTATCCGGAATAGCGATGGTCCCGATCGTTCCGGATAATTGGTTCCCTACTGTACAAACACGTAAGCCGATCAGTGAAAATGTGTACAAGACTAGTAGTATCTTTTAGTCACTGGTCCCTGGACCAGTGACTAAGTTTTGATAATTTCCACCTCTGATCTATATCTCAAAACGTGTAAATACTTTTAAAAATTGCTAATTTTTATTTTGTGCTTTAAATTTTTCAGGCTGGTTTTACACCATTGCACTTGGCAGCTCAGGAAGGACATACAGATATGACTACATTATTGATTGAACATCATGCAGATGTCAATGCCCCAGCTAAAGTAAAACTTTTATTTTCTTGAAGTGTATTAAGTTTTATAACACTTTTTTTCTTTATTAATCAATATATTTTTTTTAAATTTTAGAATGGTCTCACCCCTCTTCATTTGTGTGCACAAGAAGATAAAGTAAATGTTGCAGCAGTTTTAGTAAAAAATGGAGCCAAAGTAGATCCTCCAACAAAAGCTGGTTATACTCCACTCCATGTAGCTTGCCACTTTGGCCAGATTAATATGATTAGGTTTTTGTTACAACATGGTGCTGATGTTAATTCTACTACTTCTGTGAGTATATTTCAATGCTCATATATCATTCTCAAATATCGACTACTAGGGATGATAAAGATATATTAATCTTGATAGGTACAAGATAGATTCATTTCTAGTGTCTAAAATTATTTATATGTTTTCGCAAGGTTGGCAAGTTTCTGCCGATGTGGTTAAAACCACTGGTAGAAACCAGTTAAAACTGGCATGGCAGAAATTCAGAAAATGACATAAAAGTAAGTACTGAGATTGACATACAATGGATAATTCATAGAAAAAACAATTAAATGTTAAACAAAGTACAATTTATTTACAAAATTATCACCATTCAAAATCAAATATTACCTTGTTTGCACTCTGCAGTAATCTATAACAAACGACAAGTTTTGATGCAGTTTCTCTTACGTACAGCAAAGATTAAAACTGTTACTGTTATAATAATTGGATTGTTGCCATGCAAATTATGTCTTAAAAAAAAAACTATTTGAAAATAACTTTATTCAGTTATGTTAAGAGTTAAATGATAATAATTACTGAATTTCAGAGTTCAATATAATAAACTAAAATCTAGTATTTATATTTACTATTACATTACTTCATTCTTTATTTTATATAAATATTTGATATACTGCACTTTTTATATTTAATATAAACAAAATAATATATATTTACAAACAATGAATTAAAAAGTTCGTTACAGTTACTTGGAGTTACATTTTTCAGTTTACTTAAACAAAATGTCATTAAGCAATTACTAGAACTAATATAGAGGTTTTTTTAGTTTCTGCCAGTTTTGCCGGTTTTTACCGGTTATAACCAGTTTCTGCCACTGGCATAGCAAAAGCAGTTTCTGCCGGCAAAAAGTCAACCCTGTGTTTTCGCCTTTGTTTATGACTAGTACAATTAATGGATCAGAATAACATGTGCTAAGCGCCTTAAGTAAAAAATTAATCAATGTTTCACTTCATAAGAAAATACTTTTAATCAGTACATACTAACAAGAGTTTAGAATGTAAATTTCAATTAAATTAGTTTTGCTAAAAAATTTATACTATTTTCTTATAAATATACATGTTGCAATTATGGAACAATGGAACTTGCAAATGCCTTCTTTGACTTTTCTGGTATATTGACTTTCTTTTTTTACGTAAAATTTTTGGCATTCGATATAATTGTTGGAGCGTCTAAAATCTTCTTCTTGTATGATCATGGTTTTGTTAACATAAACCTTAAAATAAATAATTCAAAGGCAATTATTTAATCTTGTGATCTAAGTTGCTAATTCTTGTTGCCTGAAATGAAGATAATATGTTTTGGGGGTTAAAGAAAAATTTATTTTAGGCAAATACTCGACAAAAAATTGCTACCAGTGTTTATGTTCCTTCCAGAATTGCAGTGTTCTTGTTTATGATCTTATTTTTAATAAATAACATTCGAGATTTGTTTTAATAAATAACACAGTATCTATATATTTATATATATATAAGTTTACAATTACATGAGGAGGCAATTGTGAGTGGGCAAAGTACAATTGTAAATTAAAAAGAAACAGAATGAAAAAATTTAAGTTGTAAACAAAATTTCGTAAAATATTTAGACCTTTATTGCATTTAACAAACAAAAACTAAACAGGTGGCTAAGAATTATTTGAGTGTCTCAATTCCTTTTTTATGCTTTCCCTTTGACTTGAATATAAACTACAATAAAATATAATATCTTCTACAGTATCAAAAACTGACCACATGAACAAAAATTACAATTCACTAAATTAAACCTATACAATTAGCTGTTAAAATTTCCATGTCCTGTAAAAATCGGAGTTAATTTAAAATCAGTAAAAAAAAATTCTGCACTTCTATTTTATATGGAATTTAATTTTCCTTCTCTGCTCTCTGTATCTTTACTCTCTCATTATTATACTCTTCTTTCATATCATGTCAATAAATTGTTTTATCAATATTTCAGAAATAGTTTTGTTTCATAGTGTGCTTAAAAAACACTAAATATTTTTTGTTGCTTTTTAAATGGAAAATTTTGTAGTATTTTTATGTTATACTATATGTTTGTTTATGAAAATTTACTTAATATAGGCATGTAGCAGCTCTTTAGATTTTTGGTAATATCCTATTTTAAATCTATGTTTCTTGTAGTTCTGTAATTTATATCTATTCAATTACTAACGAGTGATTATTCATCAGCTGCCCCTTTTTTCTAAATATTTTTTTTGCAACAACATTTGCAGTGCCTGTATCGACAAGAACATAATATAATTAGTAATAGAATAAAATTAGTGCAAAGTTTTTTTTTAAAAAAAATGCATGGATTTTGATGCAAAGCAACAAACAAACAATTTTTTGTTACTATTTTGCAACTTCCAAACATATTTCAAGGCGACTATATTGTGGCCCATGCACATGATTTTAGTGACATTCGTAGGACATTTGGTCGCCATATTGGCATATTACCCTAGTGATGATATTATATGAAATGCCATATAGTATGTTGATCATGGCATCTTTATATGTTTAAAAAATTAACAGAATTGTTTTTTCAGCTGCACTTGGTGTTTGCTTTTTTTTTTAATAAAAAAATTGTTTTTAGTCAACTTTAAGATATTTCATTTACTAACTTTTGTCATTTTTTTAAAGTTGGATTTCATGTTTATATGAAACATGATTTTTTTTTTCAGTGAACATTAATTTTGATTATGAGTTTTGATTTTGATTATGATTTTCTTTTGAAATAAATTTTAATATTTTTCACTGCAGCATGGATATACACCTCTGCATCAAGCAGCGCAACAAGGACATACATTAATTATAAATTTGTTATTGGAACATAAAGCATCACCTAATACTACAACAAATGTAAGTATAATTTTACCCTATATTTTAAATATTTTAACTTGTATTCCATTGATTGTACTTTATTTAGGAGATTTTAAATTCTCTGCTTATCTGTTTTTAACAAGTGATTATTTTAATTTATCTATTATCTTATACATTTTCATTGCAAATTCTCATCATAATGTTTTTTTAATCATGAAATTAATCAAAGTCTTTTGAAAAAAAGTTAAGTTTCAAAATATTATAAAATTAATGTTTAAAATCAGTGCATAAAATTAGCTAAAAATTAGAAATCTGAGTAAAATTAGTTGAATTAAAAAAAAAAAAGCTGTGAATTTTTTTTATTTTCCATTTTGTTTTGATAAAGTAGGTATGAAAGTTTTGAAACGAGTTCACACTTTTTTACTTTAATGATTATACCACTTATGTGCTACTTTTGAAAGAGCAACACATAAAATGAATTTGAACTTTTAATGACATATTTAAAAAAATTATTTAGATCTGTAAAAGTTTGTAATAAAAATTTCTGAGTTTTCAAGATTGCTATATGTTAATTTTTTTCAGATGGGGATTTTTTGTTGCTATATTCTAACACTAAAAAAGCTTGTATGCCTAATTTTTCATTGTGAAAATTATCTAATAAATTATCATAAAATGCAGTGCTTGTCATGACAATTCTATTCATTTTTAATGTTTATTAATGAATTTACCATTCTGTTTAGTTCAGATTATTTTCTATTTTGCCTAAAAATTCATAAATTTATTGCTCATATAATTTATCAATATTTGTTACTTTTAAATACTTTTTTTTGCAATCTGAGTTGCAATTTTTAAAAATTATTATGAAGTTCTATTATAAAATTGATATCAATAATAAATTGTCTCCTTATTTTGTGGAAATATAATAAGACTCTTTTTCTATAATGATAGCAAGGGCAAACAGCTCTTTCAATTGCACAAAGACTGGGTTATATTTCTGTGGTAGAAACCTTAAAGATTGTTACAGAAACTGTTGTAACTACTACCACAACAACTATAACAGAAGAAAAATATAAAGTTGTTGCTCCAGAAACAATGCAAGAAACATTTATGAGTGATTCTGAAGATGAAGGAGGTATGTGTAACTCTTTATTATATATTTATTTTATTTTTGTTTATTTATTTATTTTTGACTTGAGAATATCAAGCTTTATGCAGCAGGGGTCTATCCAGGCCAAATTTACTACCGTTTAGCGGTACCTTCAAAAATTCCAACTTTAGGAAAAACGGTTTCACAAAATACTTTTTCTTGCACATTTTATTTTGTATCCCGCAAGAAACGATAAATCCATATTTTTACCATACTTTTGTGTTGATTTTTTAATATAATTTTTAATTTTCACAAATTATGTCTACATTTTCACAAAATAAGTACCTCAGAAAACCCTAGACAGACCCCTGTGCAGTTATCTCTTTAAACAGTCTTTGTAAATGAATTACACTTATTTTCATATTTTTATTTGTAAGGAAAAAATATAAGTAATGCCAATATATATAAAACTGTTTGCAGCATTTAAAGACTTTCTATGGTGTAGAAAAAGTGATTTGCTTGAAGTGATTTAAATCAATTTGATTTTGTATTCTTAAGATTTTACTGTTACATAAAATCTAAATTGCAATATTTGATTAATTTGTCAACAGAATTGTCTAAATGAAGAATAATCGTTAAAAAAGGCCGAAATTTTAACATAAAAATGTAAGGAAGGCAACTGCATTTCTTGTTATACATTTAACTTTAAGATCTAAAGTTTATTTCTTTTCTTTAATGAGGGAGTTAAAGCAGTGATATTTATTAAGATGTTTAAAATTATTTTTCTGTTATTAAAATGTCTTTGTCAAAGTAACTTTTACAACTATAGAGTTTCAACCAAATCGTTTAATATATTATAGGGATTTATAATTGAAGTAAATTTATGTAATTTGGTTTATTTTTCAAGATATTGTGTTATCTACGGATGTTAAATTTAATTTTTTTTTATTTAATTATAATATTTATATTAATGCAATTTGTTGGGGTTTTTGACAGTTTTTGACACAGGGATCTGATGGTTTTATCTGTGGTTAAATCCCTAAAAAGCTGATATATGTCAAAAACTAGCCACTCAATAAACTAGCCATTCAATAAACCTCAACGTACTTAAACATAAGATTTTTCCATGTTGGAAGTAAAATAAAAGCTTTTCTGCTGATACTGATAATTATTTGAGTTTTAATATAATAATTATTTAATACATTTTAAAATATACTGATAATTGTTTTAGATTTTGTAAATAACAGAGTATTTTATGTTTGTCTATTTATCAGTTATGTTTGTATTTATTCATCAGTTCATTATTAACCATAATTGGGTGAATTTTTGTTTACTAAAGTGACGGATTAAAAAAAATTTCATTGAAATATTTTCAGTATATACATTTACATAATTTTTGTTTGTTTCCTTGCTACATTTCAGTGAACAAATATTACAAATCTATCTAGTGTTGATTTCTTAGTTATGCATATCACCTATAAAATAGGCAGCATATTTTTCGTAGCATGATTGCTGCAATTTACTGCTTCTGGTCTAATGTAATTTCTTGTAAAAATACACATTATTTGCAGAATGAGTAAATTATAATTAAATCTGCTCTTTTATTTAAATAAACTTAGTAGTTCCTTGAAGGACAACTATCATTAAAGTTTAATTAGTCTTGTATTTATCAATGCCAAAAAAAAGTATAAATCTTTTAAAACTTCCAAAAATTTTGAACTATCTAAAAAAAAAATTATGAAGGAAATTTTTGCTTTCTGCTTTTATTATCTAATATTTCAAAACTGAAGTTATACCTTATGCTTTTTTTATGTATTTATTTTCTGTGCATATAAGTACAAATATCTATTGAAATATTTAATGCTTATTAATGCATGTAATGTTGCTTAGATTATTTATTTATATCATTTTTGTGGAAATATTGTGCATGAAACAGGTAGCATGATATTAAACCCTACCCTTGCAGCATTCCACTTTTTCTTATGATGTAGTTATTACCTTTTATTTCATTTATTTACTTAATCATGAGCTTAAAAATAGAAAAAAATTGCCGATTTCTCTTCAAAATTACCAATATTCTATAATTTACACTTTTTCACAAATTTGTTGTAAGAAGACTTTTTTTCTGCTCAACAATTTTCTCCTCTTTCAAAAGGACCAAATAATTATATTTGACTGAAGATGCTTTGAATGAAAGAAAAATGCTTGGAAAGAAAAAAAAAATTGCTCTTAAATATTTATGGTCTTAGTATTAAATAAAGCAATGAAATTGCTCACCATTTTAAGAAAAAAAAACTTAAAATAGTCTTAGGATTTTTAAATATGGGGGTACAAATTGCAAAATAATTTGCATTATTATTTTTTCTTTTACACTCCCTTAGTGATCTTTCTATAATTTCTTATTACATTTATATCTCAGATAAAATACTAATAAATTTTCTAAAATTTCATTTCTTTACCATTTACACGTTAGAATCAACCCTAGAAATCCTAATCTAATGTGAGGATATTTTGCTCAAAATTTAGCTATAACTCAAGTAATTCTCAAGAATAAATGGTTATATTCTTTAGTCGTTATATTATTTATATTCATAATTTTTTAAATATTTGATGAAAGCGAACCTAAATTATAAACACACTCATACATTTTTATTTTAACTTGTTTCAAAGTGTTATTTAAATTTTTTATGTAGATTAAAAAAGAAAACTTTAACATTTCTTATATTTAACTTTTTATTCATGCAATAACTATTAGACACATAAATTTATAAAAAACAAGACATAAAAAAATAATAGATTAAAAGTTGAAAATTATTGGTTGCAATAATTTATTTTATTTTATTTAATTAGTTTTAATTTGCTGAAATTTTGCTTAGATACATTAGAGAGATTTAGTTGCTCAGTTTTTTAGAAATGCTTTTTAAAATCCCTTTAGGCAATTTAAGTGTCAGCCTCTCTGTTTAAGCTTTGTTAGATTAGTACCATTTGTTTTGATCTAGATTCCGATTTGTACATGTTCATAATTACGTTATTAGAGATTTTAAAATTTAATTACTGTACAAATGATATTAACCTCTTGCTTTTGTGCCAAAAGAAAACATTTTAAGCCAAACAATGATAAAAGTTGGGTGGCTGGGATATGAATCATATAGTTACTGAGAGCTGATGGTTTAATCCCTTGGTACAGGTGATGATATAGAAGATACTTCTCTGTATGGGAAACCTGCCCATGCCACCCATGTGTACCTACCTTATATTGAAGGTCAAAAGTTACTAATGAGTAAGTCTTCATATTAGAATTGCCCCCTTCTAGTTTTTTCACTTAAATGTTCCCTACTTTTTCTCTTCAGTCTATATCTTTCTCTTTCTATCTCTTTTTTAATCTAAATATTATTTAAAATGTTTTTGTCTGTGTTGTTCTTTGTAATTATATTTTTGCATGATGTGTATAATTTGATATAATTAATCTGTGTATCTCTTTTTATTGTGTATGTGATTGTTGTATTTTATTGTAACACCATAACTCAGTAAAATGCCCTTTTAAAAAAGTAGTTTTATCAGTTTACCCCCGCATGGTCTGGAGCTCTTAAATTTGTCCCATTCTTTACCCTAATGCCCTGAATGTAACCTTTGTTTGTAACCTTTTAATTTGATGTTGTGGAGTTATTATTTTTTCTTTTGAAATAATACCTCTTTCTTCTCTTTGTGCACTCTCAGCTAGAAAGGGGCTGAATCAATATGATGTTAAATAAGCTCATGGTGATACCATGTTGTAATTCAATTCCGTGGTCAGCATGGGCAGCATTTTGATGATGAGTTTTTACTATGACACCAATATTCAAATGTCTGTTATCACAGATATTTCCACGTGAGCAATAATCATTCAGTCAGGCATATTGAAAATTGCATCAAGTGCTATTTGTTGTGTATTTTCTTTATGAATTGAATGAACCGGGTCATTGAATGTGTAGCATCTCTTTTAGAATCTCAGGAAAGTTGTTTTTATATGAAATAAGTGTTAATTTTTAGTTGTTGTTTGTGTCTGTATTTTGAAGTTTCTTTTCCTCCATTGGGAACTCAAACTAGCTTAGTAATTTTGTTTTGTGAAATTTTTTATTTAAGTTATTGATTAAAAACATTCAATTATATATTTATATTAAGCTATATGAAAAAGTGATTAAATGTACCTTCCTTTTTGTTGAAATATTTCCTGTTTACCTTGAATAGATTATGAATCAAGCGTATATAAAATAACAATTATAAATGTATTTCATTTTCCCTAGGAAATCTAAAGAAATGACTAGAAAATGAATATGGATTACTTTTGTTGCATTTTCAAAATTAAAACTAAATATGAAATTTTATTATGTGTTCAGCATAATGCATGAAGTTACTTCACTACTTAGTGCTGTTCAGCTAAACCAGAAATCTGAAAAACTCAATTTTTTTTGAAGTTACAAATATAGTTAACTAATAACTTAACTACTGTTAGGTGACTGATTTTGCTGACGGATTCAATTTACACTCATGTGCAAAATTAGGAAAAGTTGAAGTAAACATTTGTGAAAACGGTTTGGAATAATAATTAATTGGCTTATTTTTATGAAATTTTTACGGAACAAATATCCAATTCTTGTTTATATGAGCCAGTTTATTATTCTTTCATTGCAGTTTTTTTTCTGAGAATTCAACTTTTTATGCCTTATTTGGTCTTTCTTGGCTGTAAATATTTATTTCAAAAACCTCTAGAAAATTATCAAATATTTGTGCTTTTGTTAGGTGTCACAAACTTTTAATTTCCTATAAGAAGTAATGTGTATTATTGTACAAAATATGTTTTACTGACTAACTTGTGTAATATTTGCACTTATCAGTTTCCAAAAATTAGTGGTGTTTGAACCTTGTTTCTGTATAAACTAATGTTTAAAGTAGTTGCTAGGAATCATTATAAACTAGTGGTTTCTTGTATCACACTACTTACTACAGTACTTTAAAAAAAAAAAAAAGTAGCGTATCATTGCACTATAAATTCAGATAAAAATAGCGACTACAAAAATTTTTTTAAAAGTTATATTAGCTCCAATCACTAAGCTTAAATTATTTAATTTATAGTATTTCTATTACTGCTAAAACAACTGAAAATATTGAATTTTAATTGAAAATTATTTGTTATATTTATCTCTTATTGTTATATTATTATTTGTTATAGTTATATTATATTATGCTCCTTAATTTTTTTTTTGTAAGATGTAAATTGATAGGAAGAATGAGACTATTAATAATTAAATTTTTATTCTTGACAATTTAGTAATGAGCTATTGCATCTTGAAAATAATTTATAAAATAAATGCTACTAATAAATTTTATGATTGTATAACTATACCCTGAATTATACTGTTAAAAAAAGAAACTGTTAATTTAGTTATTTGATATCCTGCCAAATAATTTTGTTATCTATCATACTATTTGTAAATTGTTTTGTTTTTATTTGAATAAAATTTTTTTAAATTAAAATTATTCCATGGGATTAAAAGAAGTTGCGGCATTTTTATTTTCTCATCTCAATCTGAATTATTAGAACAAAATTGAAGGGTTAATTTTTCACAAATAATCTTACTTCAACCTCATTCTCATGCAGATATAGAGACTTAATGCAAAACATAATAAATAAGATTTATAGCATGGCAAATTACACACTAAGTAACATATTAAAATTTTTAAAAACTGATTCAGCATAATGCGTTTACTATTTTAATGCTAACTGTTTGTCATTATTTATTTATGAAAACAAATAAATTATTTAAAGCTAATTTACTATTATCTCTTAAGATATTTGTAATAGATTTCTTTTAAAACATTTTCTCTAAATTACCTTTTTTTTCCCCCTCTTAAATAGCACACAATTTAAATTAAGATTGTTATTTATAAAATAATAACTTTCAGATTTTAACTTGCTATTAATATTAGTTTATATTAAGTTTTTTTAATATGCACATTTTAATACATATATTTTAATGAGTTTATTTTATCATATAAACAGGTAAGTACCTCATTGGCTGATCCTAATTTAAATCAAAATAATTTAATTAAACTTTCTAGGTAAAATTGTGCATTTTGTTAAATATCTTTTAATAAAACACTTTATTTATTTAAACTTTAAAAAATTATGTTCTTAGATTTATAAGTTTAAATTCAGCCTCCTAATGTAAAAGCTATATTTTCATTAAATAAATTAATCATTGACAGATGAGAAATGCACAAATTGTAACTTTACAACTTTACTTGTTTTTGATTACAATTGCCTTATAGTCTCATTTATAAATTTGACTCTAAATCACTATCTTTTTGACGTGCTATTATAAATTAATAATTTACATTAGAGAAGGTTGCTCTAATAAAGAATAAAAAATTTCAGTGGGATTAGTTGCTTAAACAAGATTAAATTTATATTTCGAATTTTTTAAAATTTTCTTACTCCTAATTAAATTTCATTTTGCTTAGAACTTTTATATTTCAATTAATATCTTTAAAAGTTTATAAAAGTATTAGAATGACTAACTAAATATTTGCTTCATGTTAAGTAGTGTTTGATTAATGTGTGGATACTCTTGTATTATATTGAGGATGAACAACCTCTTTTCTGAGGAGGGTTGCAGAAAAACTATTTTAGCCTCCAAGAGATTTAAATAAGTTCATTTTTATATCATTCATTTGTAACTTAATTATTCCTTCGCTTAATACAAACAATATATGTATTTATTATTATTATTTTGCTTAAATATTTATAAGTAAACCTGGGTTACTTCTTTAAAAAAGAATTAAATTAATTTAGGTTTTTAATATTTTTTGTGAAAAAATTATGTACTTTTTGTGTCTAAAAATTATTTTTTACAGATACTTTAATTTTTAATTTAAACTAAATTTGTTTTGGTTAAAGAAGTCTGTGAAATTTTGAAAAGATTTAAATAATTCATAAAACTTCCACATTTTTTGAATTTGAATGTTGTAGTTTGAATTTTTTTTAGAATTTTATTTAAATTACTTTAAAATGCAGTAATAAAATTAGTTAAGCTAGTAGTGTAGGTTTTTTCAACTAATTAAATTTTTTGGACCTTCACATAAACTATTCAAAGACTGCATTTTGCCGTGGCTGCAGGTTTTTCATCCTTATATTATATTATATACAATAATTATTATATGTTTTGCATGATGATCTTCTTTTTACTTTCCTTATATTCAGAAAATTTTCTGTTGGCATGCTTCTTTTACTGTTTTTACTTAAGTGGTGTTTGTAATGTAGTTCTGACATATATTTTTATTATTATTCCTACTTTTATTCATATTATTGCCTACTAATTCTCATTATCATACACATCTCATTATTATTGCCTACTAATGCTTGCATCTAATTGTTTTAATTCTAATCAGCTGACGATACAATGATGGGTGATCAGTCACTGCATTATATGACAACAGATGAACTGAAAGCTTTAGCTGATGATAACACCCTTGGAATTGATGTAACAAGAGATGAAAGAGGAGCAGATTCAACCCTTATTGGTATGACCATTTGAAATAACAAATTTTTTATAACAACATTGCAGTTAAAAAAATAAATTCCGTTTTTTTTAAATAATTCAGAATAAACTTATAATAAAAACTTTTCAACTTCTGTTAACATATTCTATTTCAATTCATATACCGTAAAACCTTGATTTTTTTTAGGTAATTAGGACCTAAAATATTCAAATAAACACAGATATCTGATAATTATAATATTTGCATTATAGAGTAAACATCATTTCTTAAATTTATTTTATTCTTCCTAAATTCTTATTCACGGGCCATGACTTTTTTTACGCAAATTTGTTAGAGAAAAACGTAATTGCTGAGCGAAATTCTGAGGCGAACCCAATAGTATAAAATTGATAATCTAAAAGGTTATCCCTAAATGGCAAATAGTTAAAAGGTCATTTGCTAGAGAGAATGTTTTTAGAACAATTTGCTAGAGAGAATATTTTTACAACAATTTGCTAAGGAGAATGTTATGAGACAACAACGAGCATCTTTTTATTGGGAGGAAGAGTCCTGATGATCGTGTAGAGCCAAATTATGACAGCTTATTTTTTAAATTGAGAAAAGAAAAAAATTAATGTGATAAACAGAATTGACTGGGGGTTAATTTTAATTGAGGTTTTCTGATTAAAGAGGTCTAGATAACCTAGAATCTACTGTTTATAGGCAGTGCTGTTATTTGAAAACTTTTTCCTAATATGAAGTAATGGTTTTCTGAAAATTATATGCTGTTCTTATAATTGTTATGAGTTTGTAGCAGTTATTCATACAAAAAGTAAAATTTGTAAGTTTGTAACTTAAGTTAAATTTTATTCAGCTCTAGCAAGTGTCTTTTATACTGGTTTTGAAAATAACTCAAAATGTCAGTAAGGAAAAGCTACAGTTTTGTGAAATTGAAAAGCGATTATGATCTAATTTTTTAATATTTGAAATGTTACAATGCTGATTTGTTTGGGCTTATAAAAATAAGTGCAAATTGAAAATTATTCAATAATTTTAATGATTTTCACCTTAATGGAAAAAGAATCTTCCTGATTTCTTATTTAACAAATCAATTAATTTACTTTAAATGTTATAACTACTCAATTGTGTGAAAGTCATGTCGAGTTTTTTTAGAAGGAAAGTATAGTTTAAAGCATTGCTTCAAAATTAAGACACTAAAACTGCATTTTTAAATTTTGTTTTTCATGGCAAAAGAGCTTTAAAGATCACCATTAAGTTAATGAAATTATGTTGACTAGATTTATAGACTTTTAGAATTTTAATGATAATTTGTAATTGTTTACCAAGAATTTTAGTCATTATCATTTAAATGTTCTAAATATTATTTTAAAGAAAATATCTTGATTTCTAAATGTTATTTAGATATTCTATTAAGCTTTATGAAAAAAGCTTTATTTTAATAACATATTTTATGCATCTCTTTTAGCTCCTTTAACGGCTGAGGAGGATCATTTAACTCCTCAACATGTTGCTCATCAAGAAGCTACTTTTAGCAGCAGCATGGCATCTGATAATGTTGATCTTGCACGAGCACCAGTACATGCTGGGTAAGAAAATGCCCCTTTATTTATTATATAAAATTTCAGTTTTTAATCAATGTTTTCCCCCTTCTAATTTCTGTGGTATTTCTGTTCCTACTGGCTTTATTGTTTATCCTTTTTAATATCTAGCTTGTTTATTATTTTTTCCCCTCATTTGCTGAATAAATATTATTTTTGTTAAAAATAGCTGTTAATATGCATGTAGAAACCACTTATGCTTATTGGTTATTTATAAACAATCAAAGTAATTTATATTTTATTTACTAATATTTATATAAAGTTGTGTACTTCTGCAAGAGTAGGTTCTAGTTGGCTACACGATTTCAAGTCCAATGTCACAAAGGTGGAAATGTGGTCAACAATGTGCATCCGCCGTCTTTACTTTTCAGATAAGCTGGTACCCTGCATTTATGCATGCTCATCTATAATATATATATTATAACAAGATGTTATATGAAAGTACCAAATTCAAATCACATGTGTTTTATCTTGGGTGGCTAGACACAGAAGGGCTTGTTTTATGAAAGGAGAATCACATGATCATCAACAGGTGATCAAGAGGGGGTTATTACTTGTATGGTGGGGAAATATTTTTCAAGTCATGATGAAAATGACATTAGAATCTGAACTGTAGAAATTAATTTTTTTTTTATAATTCCTCGGTTATTAAATATTTTAAAAAGTTTAATAGTTGTAGTGGTTCACTTGGCTTCACTATTTTTAAAAGGTCTAAGAATTTGAAACAACCTCTAAATTTTAATTTTATGATTTTAGGTGTGTATTTATTGTTAATTTTTCTAAGAATACGAAAAAGTTGTGGAACTATGTGCATTGTCAAAAGTGACTTGATGCTTTAATTGGTTTCAGTGAAAGTTTGTACTTGTTTTAAGTAAAGTGAATTTTTTTACGAAAAAAAATTTAATCTTATAACTGTGACACCCAAACTATTTAGATGGTTAATACATGCCAATTATGAATTTATTAACTAAAGATTTTTTCCAAGTAACAAATATTTTGCTAACAAAGCAATTATTTGGTATTTTACCACCAAATAGTTCATCATAAAAATTATTAACTAACCAAAAAATTGACAATGATTAATATTTATTAAAAGTTGAATTGTTTATCATTTAGTTTAATAAGTTTTAAGTAATTTTGAACTTAATGTTAAACTAATTACAAAACTATATTTTTATTAAAATAAATTTTGAATCGCTGCATTCTTTTTAAATGAAGAAATGTGAAGGTGTAAAATATTTATTTTTTAAATTCATATCCTCATTAGCATAAATAAATATAATATTTTTTAAATAATTTTGTCTTTGATTTTAGAAAGAACGAAGCATCATTGCTTTTTGTAGCAATAAAATATGTATTACTTGAAATATTTCACAAGAGCTGTTAATATTTTTTTAAACAATTCAAATATTTCTTACAAATAAATCATTTAATGAAAAGAGTTGAAACTTATTTATAGAGTATTTATTTAAATTTATTTGTAAAATTAATTTAATATTTAACTTCTCTTGTGGTGAGAAAAAATTTATCTGCAATCTATGTATATATATATATATGTATAACCTTTATAAATTTACATTATATTAGGATAATTTTTTTCATTTGGCGAGTATCATAATTCTTTTTTGTATTTAATTAGTCAATTCTTTGAAAATTTACAACATCTTTAGAGGTTATCATTTTGAAAAATTTGAGGACTTATTAAAAGAACATTATGCTGTACTTGTTCATGTATTCCTTAGTTTATGATGCATGTTTTTTTTTATATGAAAATGTGCTATTTAAAGTCAATGCATGTGAAATTTGCTTTGTTTGTGTTGGAATAAGTGCATGGTTGTAATGTGTAAGTGCATGTATATGTGGTATTACTTATCCTGCTTACTTATCATCCACTTGTCTCTAATGATATCTGCTTTTCCCTCTTTCCCTATGCTGCATTTGGAATCTATAGAAAGCTGAAATGGAAGACGTAAGTGAAAACCTTATTTGTTGCCAATTAACATTTATCGATTTTTTTAGCAACATATTAATACGTAGAAAATTTTCTTTTAATTATAAAAAAAATTATTATTTAGCTAAAGATAATTTCAGTAAATGTATTTAATTTACTGTGATTGTCTTTTGTTAGAAACATTGATAAATTTAAGTTTTTTCCTTGTGTTTAATAAGTATTGAGCAATACCAAATTGCAATTAAAATTATCCATAATCTGGCTGAAAAGGAGATGAAGTAATTTTTTTATTTGAATTTAAATAATTTTTAATTGTCAATTTCAACTTTTATATAACTTCAAATTTTTTTGCTAATCCCAAGTTTTTTCAGAGGGTAGAAAATATATCTTACATCATATGATTCATCTTTAAAACTAAAAACTGATTCATCTTTAAAACTAAGAAAATGAAATTCTACTTTGATGATTTGGAAAGACGTGATTCATTTTTAATGCTAAGAAAATTTAAAACTTTCTTTTGACTGGTTATTTTTTTGGTCTAGAAGATTAAAAGAATGTTTATTGCAATTAAGCCTAATTTGTTTTTATTACTTTTTTCGTTTTTTGTTTTGAAACAATATATTCCTTTTAAATAAGTTAGTTACTACTTAAGATGTTTTAAGTCTCAAAGCCCAAGATAGACAAAATTTGAAATTGTCAAAAAGACGTTTACTCATCAAAAGTAGTAAAATAATTATTTCTGGTTATTGGTAGCTTATTGAATGCTCCAATTCTTTCATATTATTTTTATGGATGTAAATATAAATTGCATACATAAAATTAAAAGCTAATATTTTAAAATCTAATTTATATTTAGATTCAGGAGTTGTATGGGTAGTTTCCTTCTAGAATATTAAATATATTTTTAATGTGGAATTTATTAAAATTACTAACACACTTCATAACTCAGTTAATTACATGTAATTTTTAAAGCCAACTAAACCTTATTTGCCAAATTTCATCATTAAATAAATCATAATTGTATTTTCATGTAATAAAAAAAAATTTATTTTGTTTATTTGATGTTAGAATTTTTTTTAAAGAATTAAAATACTTCTAAGACAAATAGTTTTTTGTGAATATATTATATAGTAACAGGTTCATTTTGTTTTAAGTCATTAACCGAGTCTTTGCGGAGTAAAGAGGAGTGTAACTTAAAATCTTTACCCTAATTTGTTGAAATTTTGATTAAAAAAAAGGAAAACTTTATTTTTAGTGAGTCAAATACCAGCAAACAAGAAAGCTTTTACGAGGCTCACAATAATTTTCTTAATAAATCATTTTTATATTACTCTTATAACAATTCATTATTTTTGTTACTGCCTGTGAAATATCTTTTCAAATATCAATCAAATAAGCGTCACCCCAATACGAGTGACGTGGCCCAATCAGAAACTTTGCTGCCATCCTAATATGGGTGACACAGAAGTCAACGTGTTAATGACAAATTAAAAAAAAAATTTCCTAAAATCAGTCAATAATCTGCATTTTCAATATACAAGCCCCTGATTTTATTTATGAAAATCTTTTACAAATTCTTAGAAAAGACCCAATTAAATTTCTGCCTGCAAATAAATCTATTAATTTAAAGAAGAGCATTGGCATAGTAAAAAAAATCAGAATAATGTAATTGAAAACATAAAAGTTAAATTAAAAATAATTGAAAATTCTGTAAAATGTTCTATATGCAATATGTAACTGTGTAATAACTTGTTTATAAGTGGATTCTTTGTACTCTTTAGATTTCTGGTGAGCTTTATGGTTGATGCTAGAGGAGGAGCAATGAGAGGTTGTCGGCACTCTGGAGTTCGAGTTATTATCCCACCTCGTAAAGCACCTATGCCCATGCGAATTACCTGTAGGTATTTAAGAAAAGAAAAACTTGCATATCCTCCTCCTCTAATGGAAGGAGAGGCTTGTGCCTCTCGTATCCTTGAAGTTGGTCCATCTGGAGCTAAATTTTTAGGGTATGTTGAAAATAAATGAAGATCTAAAAATTTATAGCTTGAATACATTTTCTGTTAAGTTATACACAGAAAATGTTGTATTGAAATGTTGTATTGAACTTAATCTGAAGTCTGATCGGTTAAAAACTTATGAGGCTTCTAAACTGTGTGATTCAATTTTATTTTCATGTTAACATTCTGAACATCATTTGAGGTATTTCCTATTTCTAGTTATAAACTTTCATAAAAGTTATGAAATCATCATCATCTATCTTCCATTATTATTAGTTTTTTTTAAAAGTAAAAACTGCTTGCTAATAATTCATATATGAATGTACCAGAATACTTTATTTAGCCAAATTTGACAAAATCATCAAATTTTTGGATTTTTGCAATTCATAAAATAATTTATTTTTATCTCTTTAAAACCAGTTGAATAATGTTTAGATCTCAAATAGAATCATTGTGATAATTTAAAAAGATATTTATCCTTCGGTCAACATATCATAACCAGTTTGTTTAGCCTCATATCTCATATATATTTTCTTCTTTTTCCTGTACTTTTAAATGTGATGTCTCAAATTCTGTGAGTCCCATTCACTTGAAATTTTATACCTATATTCACTACATGTATGATTAAAGAATAGACTACAAATTTACTGATCAAATTGCAGCCAAATTTTAAAAATTTACAATTGTATTTTTGATCGTTTTTTCCAAATGCGTTCTAATGTAAGCGGAAGCAATGCATGTTAGTCAAATGTTCATTAGAAATCTTCTTATGTTGTTTTTGTATAGCACTTTTTTTTGATTTTATTGTTTTTTTTTTGTTATTTATATTATTTTGTTATTTATATTATTTTGTTATTATTATTGTTTAATTGTGTTGTCTATTTTTTCAGCCCTGTAATTATTGAAGTACCACATTTTGCATCACTTCGTGGACGAGAGCGAGAAATCACTATATTAAGGAGTGATAACGGTGAATCTTGGCGCGAACATACCCTTGAAGCATCTGATGATGCTGTTCATGATGTTTTCAATGAAAGCTTTGAAGGTGAAGGTAATAACTTTTAATAAATATTTTTCTATGTGCAATAAAATTATTTCATTTTTGTTTTTAATTGATTTTCTATTGGTTTTTTATTTTTAATATTTTGCTTCATATTTAATGAAAAATCCTTAGAAACTCAAGCGGAAACATGCTTGTCAATGAAAACTTCATTTGCTCATAAATGAATTGCTAGAAAGTCAACATATTTTGAGCTCTCGAACATAGTTCTCATTTAAAAGTAAACAAGTGGTTTAGGAAAATAAAACATGAAAAAAAGGATAAAGCACCAAAAAAAGTGAAAAGGAAAACCTGATTGAGACAATACAGAAAAAAACATGGTGGCAAATCAAGACAAGATACATTTCAATACAAAATGTAGGGTTAGAATGTCATTAATTTGTGAATTAATGTCATTAATTTGAGAATCGGCATTCATATGGATAAAATGATACTCAAGAGCATCAAGATGAGTTGTTGATGTCTTAGGAATGGAAATAATTTTAGTTTTATTGAAGTTAAGTCTCAAGGGTGTGAAATCTAAAAATCAATGATGCCAATAATGGGTGATTTTTTAAACTCTTGACGATAGACATTAAATGTACAAAAATTTATCAGACAGCAAATGAAGTTTTCATTAACGAGTACATTTGTTTTATATATTATTGATTCTTATATTAAGTGTTTGATTTAAATTTTTAGAACTAACTGCCATCGAAGATCTCAGTACAAATCGTATCACCCGCATCTTGACCACAGATTTTCCACAGTATTTTGCCATAATAACACGAATACGGCAGGAAGTCCATGCAATAGGCCCAGAAGGAGGTATGGTCAGCTCAACAGTGGTACCCCAGGTTCAAGCCATTTTCCCTGAAGGCGCCTTGACTAAGAAGATCAAAGTTGGACTTCAGGTAAACAGCTGCCCTCCGGACACTATTGACCAGGGCATTCATACTTCCTCACCAAAATCAGGTAGGCCTTTAATGCCAAACAATCACCCACCGCATAGTTTGAAAAAACATCCTCCAAAACCGCAGAGAACCAAATCTGGTTTCTTTTCGGAATTTATCCGGCGTACATGGCCTAAGCTTGATTTGTTCTCATTCATGTGAAACATGTCTCTATTTTAGATTGAAAATTAAATATTCATAATGGAAATTTATATAAGTACATAGCATGTAATAAAGGTGCTATGGATATTTTCTCCATCATATTTAGAATTTAGCAGAAAAAGTACATGTACATGAGGCGTTAATTATTTTTCATGCTTCTAAAAATCATATTTTATTAAAATTATTTTATGGGGACTGTGATAGTTTTACAACTAAAAAAAGTTTTTATTTTTCTGTTGTTAAGGTATATTCTTTATATATTTTAGAAATAACTTTCTAATTTATGTTTTTTGTTGTAAATAATCAGTGCATTATAATTAGAACTAAAATTATATCGTGGAACTTTTTAATAAATTTTTTGTTCATATTTTGTGCATTGGGTTAAAAGATGTTTATATCTGCTAAATTCCAAGCAGTCTGTAATTTTAGTCAGATTATAATTAAGTGAAATATGAGTTAATTTTACTCCTGTTGGTTAAAATTAGTTAATTAAATACTTTTTTATGGCAAAAAAAATGTGAACCAAGCCTATCTGTAGAACTCAAGAGAGTGTATACAGAAGATATTTTTTCTATCAAGATGACATAACAGCTGCTGACGCTGATGGCAAGCTTTGATACTACCTATGATGACTTGACAATGGCACAAACTGACCCACTAAAAATGATCCTTCATTGCAAATATTTGTAAACATTTCTATCAACAGTAATGAGTTTGATGATTTTTCTCTACGATTTTTATGGACATTGAAAATTGAGCTGAGCATCATTTGGTGAAGCTTTAAGTATCATAGACACGTTTTGCAATTATAAATTAAATTTATCATGCATTCAACTTAATTAAATGTTAAATTTCCTGTTGGATTCGGGAAGCATTTTTAGACAGATTTCATATTATTTTAAATATTTCAATTAATGATCTTCTCAAGAAAGTTAAAAAAGAATTATATTTGAAATGATAATTTAAAGGAATGATTTAAAAATATTAATGAATCTCCTTAAATTATGAAGGAAAAATTAGGATGTTTGTTAGGTATTCTTGTTGCTTATTTGATACATTTTATGTCCTGCTTATATGTTTATTTAATTTTTATTTATTCTGAAGATAATTTAGATATGTTTGGCTGTTTTAATAATTTATTTAATTATGAATACTTTACATATTAAAAATATGCATGTTATAAATAGATTTGATTAATTTTAAAGCATGATTTATGCCTCATTTACATGCTTTTACTGCTAAGTTAATGGATTTTTGTTATTTATATAATGCTGTTTTATTGAGAAAGTTTTTTAGCTCATTTACAATTTTGTTTTATCTTTAATTTGCCAAATTTTTACATTTGTTACTATTTTGTTTTGTTGTGCCAACTTTTGTTTTATCATTGAAATAATTTGCAAATATTTTCATAAGATATATAGTGAAACCTGGTAGCAAACCCATATTTGCCTTTTATTTAGTACACAATTTTCAAAGTACTTAATTTCACAAAACTTTGAGTTACTTGACTCATTTTCATTTCCATGTTTGATGTTGATTAAGCCCACCGCTAGCAAAGTACAAATTTTAAGAAATGTTTATTTACTTGACTCATTTTTACAAAAGTTAAAGTTAAATTAACTTGAATCATCAAACTAAATTAATTGGGATTGATTTTTTAATACAATGATACAATGGGAAATTTTTTTCCCATTTTTCCTCTAAATAATTTTCTAACAAATTTTTTATATGATGATAATGATTATACTTAAAGAACATTTTGGACTGGACATTTGTACTTTAGTTACATCAGTTTATTGAAAAAAAGGATTATCCATTTAGCATAATAGTAAAAAAAAAAAATTAGCTTTAATGCATTGTAAGACGTGCTGGTTAACAAACAGGATCTGGATTAAACATTCTGGTTTTTTACCTTAAATAAATAAAAATTATTTTAACTAAGCTAACGTTTTCTCCCGATTTTAAATTTCAATGTTAATGTACAATTTTTTAGACATTAGATAACAATTTTATTAAAATTAAAATGAAGCAAAATCTTAAGTTGATACCAAACTAAATATTAATTAACATTTTTATGATAAATTGACTACCTAGGTTTAACTGTATATTTTGTTAACAATATTATTATTTGTGTGATGTCTTTTATGTTGAAGATTTAAAAAAAGTACGTTCTGTACATTTTGATGGTATAGCAATTGAATAGAATATTTTTGAGTATTGGTTTAACCATTGTACATGCATAAGTATGGTTTAAATTGAAAATATAACTATATGTTTTATTGGCATAAAATGATTATACATTTATTTATTAGTTTTTATTTGAAATAAACTAAGATAATTAATGATAGGATTAAAATCTTATCTTCGTACGTTTTCAAAATTTGTTTCATTGTTCAGCTTATTTAGTTTAAACTGAATTGAATGAAACTTAATATTTCATTTACTATCTGATATGCAATATTATTGGTAATATTTAAATTGAATTAATTGTACTTAATAAGCTTTTTTTATATTACCAATTAATAAATCAATCAATAGCATTGATGAAGTGCCTCAAGATTTCGAAGGATATTAAGCATATTTTTTTTATTTATGGAGAATGATAATTTAAATTTTATTTATGTCTTACTCATTTTTCTTACATATAAGTATATAAAATTTGTTTTCTTAAATTGTGCATAATAAAAGTGGATATAGTTTTATCTGTAAGTTAATTTTTATGTTGTCACAGACATTGTACCTTTTAACATTGTAGATTATATTTTCAATCTGATACTTATGTTTCTTGGTATGTTTATAGATATATGCAATAAGTATGAATGTGCAATTGTATACTTAAACCCAATATAAAACAGGGTTATATTAAATTATTTTAATTTATATCTATGTTAGGAATCTCATTAAGTGTTAATAATTTAACAGTAATAATTAATGACAATAATAAGTTTAAAAACAAAAATAATTATAATAATTTTTAATTTAATGACAATAACAATAATTTTTTGATATGTGTTAATGTTTTGTAAAATTAGCTTTATCCATCTATATTAATACATATATTCAATAATTTAACATAAATTTCCTATCATTGTTTCGGAAGGTCTCAAGGTAAGATCTGTTTTAAAATGTGCATTATTGTATCATGATATTTAGAAACTATAATGAGACAAAATTTTGTATGAAAATGGCAAGAATTTAAATTCATATCACCTTTAAGCACTGGCAAAAAATTAATACATCTGTATTATAATTAAGGATGGAAAGTATCTTATTTCGTTTGGAGTCAATTGCTGAAGCTTATTTTAAAAGAGAATAATTTTGTAAAACAATTGCATATTGTATTTTACAAAATCAAATAACAACAAAAAATATCTTTTTTCAGTTTATTTCAAATTGGTCGGTCAGTACCAAAATTTATTTTAAACGTATTTATTATGAGTAGGATTTTCCACATCAAGTTTTTTTTTATGTATGGATGCATTTAAAGTAATCTACGCTGTTAAATTTGAAAAGATTGATATTGATCTTAGCATTTACTAGCATTTTATCTTTGCATTGGAATACATTGATTCTAAAAAATATCATATAATGTGCATTCGATTGACAGAATGTTGAGTTTTACCAAAATATAATGGACTGCCGTATGAATGATAATCTTACATGATGAGTTAACACTGTTTGGACATCTTCTTAATTTTATACTTTAAAAGAATTGGCTTAAAAAAAATTCGAGATGGCAATAAAAATGGGCACGTTTTTGGTGCTCAAAAATAGGAGCCCATTCTCAAGACTCTCCAGACATGAATAAGAAAAACAAAAATAGGTCAGTTTCAAATGGCTTTGGTGACTAAGGGTCTGTTTCAAATCATTTTTGTTTTCCATCAATAAGCTTATTTTTTTTTTAACACATTAAGAGGATAAATGATTGTATTCAGTATTTACTACATTCACACTTATTCTAGAAATTTACTGCAGTCAAATGTCAATTTTTTTTTGTTTGGTCTTTAAATTTCTGTATAAAAGTAATGTCAAAAAGTTGTGGATAGTTCGAATTTTATTTTGAATAATTAAAATTTTCCATACTGTTGCCCATAAAATATTATGTATGGTAAAAATTATTTTCGAGACAAATCTTTCTAAAGAAACGAAAACCTAGGTTTTTTACTTTCTGCGGTTATTGGTTAGTCATCCAATGTATGTCTGAGATCCAGTCAATCCTTAAAAGAGACTTCTGCAAAATTTTTTTCGCATGAAAATCCATTTCAATGTGAGTTGTTAATAAAAAGGATAGTGGATTTTCTCAGAAAGTGCAGCCATTTTTCGGAATCCTGTGCACTTCTCATCAAGGTGTTTGTGCTTTAAATAATGATTTTCGAAGTTTTTTAAGGGTTCGTTTTAGTTTGTAATTCTTGTATTGTGTTCCATTCTTGTATTAATTGCTAAGTTGACATGCTATTTCTTGAAGTTTACAATACTTGATTCAATTAAAAAAAAATGGAACAGAATCTCCATGTTAAGTTTATGTAAAATCTTTGAACAAAAAGCTAATTTTTTTTTATTTGTCTCTTCTGTTTAAAAAAAATATTTTTGAATCAAATTTATTTCTGGTCATTTCGATTTTAAAATTTTGCTGTGTTATAAAAAGTTAATTCTAGGTGATACATGTTAAAAATTGCTTGATGTAGAACACAATTTGGTTTGGTCTTTATAAAGAGGCTATTTTTATTTTTGACAGAGGAAAATTAATAGAAATATCTGTGCCTAAGAATGACATTTGGTGATTTAGGGAAAGTAGTAGTGTACTTAATTTATTTACTTATATACATTATTATAGTTTTTATAGATTATACATTAATTTATACATTCACTTTATTTACACTAATTTTATTTATATGATTGTTACAATTTCTTTCAAGTTATATTCATGTGTTATTTATGTTAGCTTGTTTTTAATGTTTACAATTTTTCTGTGGTAAGTGTAATAATTTTTTTACAAATATTTATATAATTTGTTTCTGTATTTTATCTGTGATTTGATTAATTTTATTGTGATTTTGGAGAGCTTTTACTGAGCTAGGAAAGTGGGGCCAGAATTAATATGTATATGAAATAAAGTATATTTTGAAACAATTCAAATATTGAGATAGATGTACAGTATTTGTAGGAATTTTTCTTTTCAGTTATGGACTAAAACTATGAAGCTCTTATAATTTATTAATTTTACACATGAAATTTTTTTTTCTTAATTATTGTCGGTGCAGAGATGTCAACTTCTAAAACTTTTTGTATTTACCAGGAGTTTTTGCTTTCAAATTAAGAGAAGGGTTTAAAGACTGTAGAATTTGCTAGCTTATAATTAAGCTCCCTTTTATTTATTGCTATCTCATTTTATTCTTTATGAAAAACCAGAATTATTTTCTTTTTCTGTAAAATTTGGAAAGGCTAGGAAATTTTCTGTGTTGGGCACATTGACCATCATTCAACTCTAGTGCCAAGCACTTTACCCTGTTTTTCAGCGCTCTATCTTTTAATAGCCATCATTGAAATGCCACATAATTTTGATGCCACTAAAATGGCATGTACAGTACCTGAGCTGCTTTTCTTTTCTCCAAACTTGCACACCAATGAGCAGTAAGCAATATTGCATTGTATCCAAAATTAAAATACTTGAATTAAAAATTTAAAAAAATTATTTTATCTTTTAAAGGAAGTATGTTTTTAGCTATAGGAATTAATTCCTTTATGCATAGACTATCTAAAGTTTTTAAGCAAATCTCCTTTTAATAGTTTAAAATATTTAACTTGTTGCTTAAAGAAAATGTTTTAGTACATTTAGTCCCTTCTATTGCATCTAAACTTATCACACTTTATTTATGTTTTTAGCATAAACATATTTACATCTTAATTGAATTTTTTCTAAACTTTACATTTTGTCTTTTATTTATTTACTTCATTTTTTCAAAAAAAAAAAAAAAATATGCCATAAATTTGTTACACAATTTTAACTTGATTTTATGTTTATAAAAAAGATATGTATTTTAGTATAACTCGGTACATCTTTTCATGCAACTATGAAAGCCACTTGATACTTGAATAATACAGATGGAGCAGTATTATTTTGTCGATAACTTTATAAAATAAAATTCATATCAATAAATTTAAACTTTTTGAAATTGATTTTAATGTTTCATTTCGATTGTTTTGTACTTGCAGAAAAATAATACTTGAGGTTGGCATCTTTGTCATGCAGTTTTTTAAATTTATACACATAGTTAGAGTTGTTATTTTTTACAGACAATGATGTGTGATATTAATGAATCTTATATGCAATTTAATACTAACACATTTTTGTACAAAATTTATCATATCAGTCAGTGTTAATAATGCCATACATCTGTAAAACTGTCTTCTTAATATTGAATATATTTTCTGTACTTACTATTTTAACAATAAAGAGAACCAGACCTAAATTCTGTGTGTTGTTTTTTACTGATCTCACATTTTTCACTTTGCTTACTACTAACACAATGCTTTACTAATCACACATTTTTATGTGCTGCTATATTCTTCTAAGTATATCTGTCAAAGTTCATGCAATTTTTCAAATAATTTTCTAATCTGAATTCGTAACATTGTTTTAATTACTATTTCATCTTTAAAGTTTAATATGTCTAATGTATAATGCCATTTTGTAATTTTTTGAAATCTGCGAATTATCATGCTTTATAATTTGATTTTAACTTAAGAAACTAAAATTATAAGTCTATTTAACTAGAATCGGTAACCTGAACCTATATTAAAAAAGAAAAATCAGATTTTTTGCATTAAATTTGAAATAAGATAGATTTTGATAAAGAATAATAGGAAAAATTTCCATTAATAGTAGAATAAAGTTTTCTTCAACTGTAAACACTTTCTTAGAAAAAAATTATATAATTTCTGTTCCATTTATACTATATAAATTTTTAAAATTACTTTCCTTTCTAACTGCAATACGCTTCTGTCTTTGTTTTTGAATGTTTGTTGCCTGACTAACTGCTTTATAAATTCTCATGTATCTTTCTTTCCTTGTACATAGAATTTCAAGGTCTGTTTCTTTTTACTTTGTTTTTAGAATAAATTGCTTTAATTTATTCTCTTCTTAAAATGTTTCTATGTATTTATTATATTTGATTTTATTTTGTGATATTATACGCATGTAACTTTTATTTTTAAGTTTAGCTATAAATTTTTTTATAACTTTGCATTATTCTGTGCTTCCTTAGCATATTTTCGTTTGAGGCATTTAGAAATTATTATTTTTCATTTGTTTATGTATTGAAAATCAGCTTATTGTAAAATTAGCTTTATACTCTTTGAAAAATTTATAAATTCTATCAAAATACATCAAGCTTAAAGGAGTTGTTTTTGTAATTGAAAATTAATAAAATGGGTGTAAATTACAAGTTCTTTCTACAAAAACCTGAGAATTTTTGTAGGTTTAGTAGTCTGAGTTTACCCTTCAATGCCAATGAAATTGACTTATTGCATGTAGTTTAGTGCTAAATATTTTTAAATAAAATATTTAAAAATTTATATTTTATCAAAATCAAGGTATAGAATTGTTTAAAATATGTAAAAGAGTGGAATTCAATTGCTGAATCTAGCAGACTATCAATTTTTCTATTTAGGCTCGACAACATGAAAATCAATGGTTTATTTGTGTGCATGTGTATGAAATTTACTGTATACAGTCAATCAATAATTCACAAGTTTGAGAAACTGAGTTTTTTTATTTTATTAAATTTGCCTTTTATTAAGTTGGTCAGGTATCAGCTTTTTCTTCAATTTCTATTGCTAAAATGGGAGAAATTTCCTTATTTTAATGCATCTGTTATGCTTAAAATTGGAAGTTCATCAACTGTAAGGATTATATTATGAAAGATATGAAAACCCGTTTTTCTAAAACATGCATATAAAGAAAAAAAAATTTTCCTCAACTTTTTTTTTTAAAAGAACTCTTTTTAACAAATAATAAAAAAAGTTTAAAAAAAAACTTTTTTTCAAAATAATTTGTCTATACAACACTGAAGACACTTTAAATCACCCTAAAGATCTGGATGTTCTACATTTGCTGATTACTTCACTGTTTAATTTAGTGATTTTAAGAAAAATATCATTTAAATAGTCTTTTTTTTTTTGTTGGCATTTTTCATAAAAGGCTCAGTTTTTGTTAATTTTATATATAATTCTTTCTTTAACATTGGTAAATATTAATTATAAATTTATCCAATTGTTTATTATTTCTTTAATTATTATTTACTGCATCCTCTATACGTATTGGAGTGGATAATAACTTTTACAATGAATTAGATGAGTATTTATTTATTTCTTCTCATATTTGCTTAAAATCATAATCATTTATATCATCATATCATAATTTAATAATTTATATCATAACAAACATCATCATTAAAAGAAAAAAGTTTAGTGGTTATTAAAATTGTTAGGAAAAACAAACATGATCCATGGTTATTAAAATTAGTGTGAAGAATATACATGGTTATCGGTTGCAATAGGTTTCAACACATACAGGTTTCAATCCAAGTTCTCAAATAATTTGTTGATTACAGGCTCATCCAATATCTCCAGAACTTGTAACTAAACTGCTGGGAAATCGTGTGGCTGTGAGTCCTATAGTTACAGTTGAACCAAGGAGAAGGAAGTTCCATAAATCAATTACTTTAACAATTCCTGTCCCACAAGCTGCAACTAAAGGGATGATTAACCAATATAGCGGGGATGCACCAACTTTGAGGCTGTTATGCAGTATAACAGGTAATATTGAACAACATTTAATTCTATTTTTTTCCATTATTGTGTTTGCCTCGATGTTGCAAGGTTACTTGGTAATTGTAAAGGTTAATATTAAAGTAAAAAAGGTTATGCTATAACCAAATTTTACAATAAGAGTATATATAGTTTTTTACTTTTGGTTCTACCAAGCTTTAAATCTATGGTTTTCAGTTTTCTGGGAAGTGAAGAGAGACAGTACACTATAATGTCCATATTACCAGTGGTCTCATAATTGTTGAGCCTTATTCTTTGTAATTCCCTTTTTGCCGACAACTTACTGTCGTAGTGCTTTAATTTCATGTATTAATAACTCTGTAAATGGAGAACCAATAACTAGTTAAATAAATATTCATTTAAAATACTGGATCCAATGCATATGAAAAATGTGCAATTCAAGCAAATTTGTAATAAAATTTGTAAATGATTTAAAAGTTGTATTCAGTATTAATGACTTCAGTATCTTGAAAAATTATTTAAAAAGGACCTTTTTATTAAATGTGTAGATAATTGATAAAGAATTAATGAAAAAATGAAAGTGGAATTTGCAGCTTATAGTTTTGATAAATACATAAACAATGTTGTTTACGCTAATTCATTATTTTAGTTGCTTTTGAAATTGTTGATAACTTCTCCACTGAAATGAAATTTTTCTTTGTTTTTACATACCACAGTAACTTTTTCTATGGTTCATGTAGTCTCTTAAAGTCCTTCAAATCTTTCATTTAAAAAAAAGATCAATTTTAAGGATCAACACTATTTCTTGTTATCAGTCTTTTATAAGAGTACTTGCAGCAGAAACTTCTATTCAGTGTGAGATTGAGAGTGCTTTGTTGGGTAAATTTCATCTCTCTCTCTCTCCATTTATTCATTTTTCTTACGCATTTAAAATATTTTAATATGAGAAGTATCAAGATTATATGCAACTATATAACAATCATATTAAAGGAAAATTAATTGTAATTTTTTAAATTGTTATGGAAATTATGTTGCTGACTTTGAATCAATTTTTATTATGTTTAAGGTAATGAAATATTTATAATAATTTTTTTTCTTCTGTAGGTGGGACAACTAAGGCTCAATGGGAAGATGTTACTGGTTCAACTCCTTTGACATTCGTAAATGACTGTGTTTCTTTTACAACAACAGTCTCTGCAAGGTAAAATATTAGCTGAAATACGAATAAAATGTTCAAATATTAAATTTTCTTACTTCAAAATTAAATTACTTACAAAATTATTAAATTTACAGGCTATCAAAATAATAAATTTATTGTATAATTGATCTTTCAAGATTATCATTACAAATTAACTGATTATTTTTGTATTTTTGAAATTAATCTCTTTTTAAATACAATATTGTGAACATGTTTAGGAATTTAAAAGTATTTTGGAATAAATTCATAATGTTTTAAATAAGGTGGAATTACGGTACATGAATAGTGTTGTACATAACACATTAATATCAAGAATAATTCCTAAAATTTTGAGCAAATAATCAGATAAATTTGTAATGTTTTGCAATGCTAAAAGTTCTTTTCATTTATTTTTTATTATTTGCTAATATGAGAAATTTTGCTCTATTAACCTATTAATCTAATAAATCAGTTAATGCTTTAAATAAGATAGTATTTCTGAGCAATGCAAATAGTTCTTTTAATTTTTTTATTATTCAGTTAATATGAGAAATTTTGGTCTATTAATCTAATAAATGTATTAATGTTTTAAATGAGATAGAATTTTGGTGCTTGAATAGTGTATGTAACGGCGACCGGTCTGTGTAGGAGTTAGGGAACTCAGAAAGGTTCTGGATTCAAATCCCGGGCAAGGCATGGATGTTCTCATATCCTCTGTACTATCTGTCTTTACTGTGGGAGCAACGTTGGCTCACCTAATATGGTGCCCCTGAAAGAGTGGCCAACAAATCTGCCCTTCAGATGCCTGTATGATGCCCAGGTGGGTCACTCTAAAAGGTGGGCATTGGGGAAAAAAATAGTGTACATAACACATTTATAACAAGATTCATTCCAAAAATTTGGAATAAATAATCAGGCTGCAATGCTAGGAGTTCTTTTTATTTTTTTATTACTCGTTAATATCAGAAATTTTGTTCTATTAATCTGATAAATGTATCAATGTTTTAAATAAGATAGAATTTTGGTGCTTGAATTAACACATTAATATCAAGAATGATTCTTTAAATTGTGAGTGAATAATCAGGATGTATTTGCAATGCTATGCGCTCCTTTAATTTATTTTTTATTATTCATTAATGTAAGAAATTTCGGTGAACATGTGAAGTTCAATAGTAACATATGAATTTCATGCTTACATTTCTTCCAAATTCTCAGTTATTGATTGTTTATTTAGCACCTGACATAGTAATGTAAAAAAAATTGTTTGATTATGGATTTGGAGTTTATCATTGTATCTAAAGCTTATAACCAGTATGTTGTTAAAAAACAACATGTATCTCATTTGATTAAAAAAAAAATGTAAGTTTTATGTTCTTTTATAATTTAAATTTTTATTCTTGAATTTGTTTGCGACAGGTTTTGGCTTATGGATTGCCGACAAGTGAACGAAGCAACTAAGTTTGCTACCGAACTTTACCGTGAAGCCATTCATGTCCCCTTTATGGCAAAGTTCGTGGTGTTTGCAAAAAGGCGTGATCCTCTAGAAGCTCAATTACGTGTATTTTGTATGACGGATGACAAAGAAGATAAAACTCTAGAATCTCAAGAACACTTCACTGAAGTAGCTAAGAGTCGAGATGTTGAGGTGATATTTTTTTTTAAACAATAAAATTTTGCTATTTTTAAACTAATTAGCTTCAGCTTGATTGAAAATCTGAGTGATGGTTTGAAGTGATATTTTAGGGATTTTGTGTCAATTTGGTAGTTTTAAATTATACAAGTTTACTAAAAGATTATGTTTGCAAGTTTTCAATGCACAAAATCTATAGATCTCTAATGTTATTTAAGCTTTTCATGTCATATGGTTGACAAACTTAGCTTTTTAATTTGCTGATAAAATGTTGCTTGCCAACCGGTTGTTGCAAATTTCCTTGGAATCTTCTTTAATTGCAAAAGTATTCTGAAAATATAACTTATTACCTATAGCTACTAAGATATCTGAAATTTAAAGATTTGAAAAACAAATCAAAGTTGTATAGTTAAATGAGATTAAAATAAAATGAAAGTATTTTCCTAATAAACCTCATTTTTTAAAAAAAAATGTTATCTAAAACTTTATTCAATTGTATTAATATATTAATGCAATCAATGTATTTGTTGAAATTTCTGCTTTACGTTATAAAGGAAATTTTTTTTCTTAATGAAGATGTAAGAATTTGACACTAAGATCAAACAATAAACCTGTAATTTATTTAAGTAATTTCTTACCAGTAAGCAAATGTATTTCTGTAATCAGGGCAGATTGTGCTCCGGAAAAAATACGGATTTCCGGATTTTTCACTAACTGTGATCCGGAAGTTTCCGGAGATCGAAGGTTCAGATGCTTAAAAAAATCATTGTTCACAAAAGTTTCCGGAAATCAAATTTTCAAAGGTGGACCTTAAAAACACAGTTTATTTTATTTGTTTGTAAGGGAGAGCCGGATACTTTATAAGCTTATATTCAAGATTAATATTCATTTTTTATCAGTAAGTTATTATAATCATAAACTCAAGAACGAAAAACATATTTGTAAATTTCAATTACTTCTCTAGGTCTTTCATAGGTATGTGTAATATTTTAAATATATTTTAAGTAACTAAGAAATATTGAGAAAAAGGTAAAAACCTTGTTTAAATTTTTCTCTAATGTTTCGATTTAAATTTTTTTTTTGCTCAAGAAATTTTCCGGAATTTTGACTTGGGCTCACAATCACCCCTGTGTAATTAGCCAATATTTAGCAAAATCTTTTAATTAATTTATGAAAATGATTATGGTAAAGTGTAAGTAATCTAAGAAGTTATGGTGCTTATTGGTTATTGGAACCATAAAGCATAATTGGCCATATATTATGCAAATGAAATAACCTTTTTTTTAATTTTCTACTATTTTACATAAAAAAAACCGCTTTGAACTTTATGCTCAATGTTATTTTAGAAAATGGAAATGAATATTTACAGTATATCTATAAGATTATGTTATATTGTGTCTGTTAAAGAACAAAAACTTTTTCTTTAAAATGGCAACAAAGCTGTAGTATTTAATGTAGAAATATTAATTTTTTCTTTAATGCCATTATCTATCAAATTGTATAAACAATTTAAAAAATAGTGTTTTTTTTAAATGAAGCTTAAAAACGGTTTATTTTTTAAGTAAAGTAATGTGTAAAAATTAATGTCAAAATATGCCAACTTTCAATTGCCGAAGAAGCAAAAGAATTCTGAGTTCAATAATTGATGCAGAATTGAAATATTATTTTTAATGTGATTATCTATCAAAGTGTTTAAAAAACAGCTTTCTTTTCATATGACGCATAATTAAGAAGATTTTATTTCTGGTTGAGTAATAGTTAGAAATAAAATTGTAAAACAAAAAAATCTGTGAAATTAGAAATATTATAGAAAAATAGTTAAGAAAAATTAAGTCATTTTTTTTTGTTTACCCTATTTTTTAGATAATTTCTTAGACCAATTTAAATATTTATGAGGTAAATTCATTTATGAAAAATAGAATTATAGCAAATCATTTTTAACCTACAAATTATAACATGTCTTATAATTACAGCATTAGAACATTATCTGTACGAGAAATATTTTGTATGAAATTCGAGTAAAAAGAATCTTGTTATTCCAATATATCTTATTATCAAGGAGTTTTTTTTAAATAAGATTTTCATGTGTTTGTGTGTTAGACATTAATTCATATCTGAAAATACAATAAAAATGCTTTTTATTTAAAAATATAAAAAAAAAATTACAATATTTTCATATAATTATTGTGATATCATTTTTAAAATTTAGAAGCTAAAAGTCGTGATTTATTTTATTTTTCAATATAAAAATCTAATACGTTTTTCTTAATTTATTACAGGTCTTAGAAGGGAAACTACAGTATCTAGAATTCGCTGGAAATCTTGTCCCAGTTACAAAATCAGGTGAACAGTTAAGTTTTACATTCCAAGCCTTCAGAGAAAACAGGTTACCCTTTACTATTCGTGTGAAAGACACACACCAAGAACCTATGGGAAGGGTAGCATTCATGCGAGAAGCACGAGTTGGTCGTGGAGAAGCCCCACAAGCTCCTATTTGCAATCTAAATATTGTTTTACCTGATGTAAGTTTTAGAATTTTTTTTTTTATAAATTTCTTATTAAGTTCAAAATTTGTTTAATAGTTTCAATTGCTATTTTTTATATTCAAGCAAATTTTATATTATTAACCTTTATGATATTTGTAAGACATGATAAAATAATTCAAATTATTTCTTCTAGTTTAGTGGCATTATTTTTATCTTATAATTTATCGCTGTGTTAAGACACTAGATGCTTTTGGAGATAATATTCAAATTTTTGAACAATTTTTAGAATTTTCCTAAGAATAAAATTTTTTTTTTGTTATCCACTGTGAAAAAACTTTTTATTTATTGCAATAACACTAAGAATCACAGCACATAAGCCATTTTGCTACTCAAATTTCTGAATGGCTGTACTATTTTGAATTTGAATATTCCTTTTTATGTCCTTAATTGTATATATTTAGTAGGCTAATTTGAAAATGCAGCATTCTGCAAACTGCTTTAATTTGTTTGACTTATAGCAGTGAGTCTTATAGATGCGTTGCGAAGTGATGTAGGCAGCTTGCAAAGAGACAGGTTTTCCAATTAGCCTAAAACATATATATATGTTACGGTAAAAGTGATAAATCCAGTTATTATTAATAATTTCCTGTCATTATAATAATAACCTCTTCTTTTAGTTATTATTAAAAATAACCGGTTATTATTAATAACTAGTTAGTATTAATAATTACCGTATTTAATAATAGCCGGTAATTATTAATAATAACCTGTTATTATTAATAATGACCTGTTATTATTAATAACAACCTGTTATTATTAATAAAAACCAATGAAGTTTGGTAATTGTTATTAAATGGTTTATATAGCTTGGATGTGCCTCTTTGGGACATGGATGTGCCTCTTTGTATATGTGTTACGGTTAAGGTGATAAATCTGGTTATTATTAATACAAATTGTCAAAATTAATAACTTCTTCTTTTGATCAAAGTGAAAAATAAGAGCATGGACTTGTATTGCGCTCGGTGTGAATTACAATGTGGGAAGAAATTTTAAACTGCATTTGAAGACACTGATGAGTATGCTGAAACAGCTTGTGGTTTAGTTATACTGGGAATGGCATATACAGGTAGTGGCACTTAACTTTAAAAAAAAAAAAAAAATCAGTGTAGTGTATACCGAGCAAATGTATTCTGGGCAGTGACACTTAATCTAAAAAAAAAAAAAAAAACATTAGTGTAAGGTAAACTTTAATTTTTAATCTCATTACTTTAAACAAAAAAAAAAAAAATTAGAAATACTTAACTGCTTTGAACTAAAATATTGCATTTTTTTAAACAAATTACTTTTTTTTTTGGCAGGAAAAGCTACTTTGATATTATGATTTATAAAATATTTTTGACTTTTTACGATTGCAACATCTCGAGTTGCACTTGCTTCTACAATATGAGAGCATTCTTTTTTACTTATTAAAAGAATTAAAAAGCCGAAAAATAAAATAATGAAAATATATTTCGTCATCAGCTCACGCGATTACCTCAACAAAAAAGAGTGCTTTATTGTAATAATATAGCCAAAGCAAAATTTTTTTTATTAATTTTTTTTTAATATTTTAAAAGTATTTGATTTTAATTTTTAGAGGTGATTTTACGCATATAACCTTGTTTGAATTGAGAGAAAAAATTATCAGTCCTCTACGAAAAGTTAAGCCCTTGTTAAAATAAATTTATTTGTCTAAATATAAATTTTTTTAGTTTGCTTGTATTAAGAATTTTTTCTTTCAATCTAGCCTGATTTAACCCCAGTATCAGAATTAGTGACATTAGAAAAGAAATATGGATTTGTCCAGGAAACAAGTTTAGGTATTTATTTTATGTATTTATTATTAACTTTTATTTTTTAAAGTTCTTACGGATAAAATTGAATATAAAGAATGTAGTTGAAATTAATGTAATAAAAAATATGTTAAGATAATTCTTTATGTATAATCTTCACGGTTTCATCTCCATTATACTGGAGAAAATTTTTACATTCATCACTACTGTACTAATCGTTATTAAATTGTAATAATTACTCAATTTGTATATTAGTTTGGAGTTTAAAGAAAAGTGAAGAAGTGGTTCAAATTTAATAACTACTTTTAGTTAGCGTTATTTTTTTTTTAAAAGAAAAAACCTTTTTTTTAATGTTTTGTGTTTACATAAGTCATTAACATTATAACATAAATTATAAAGGTTGACCTTGTAACAATGGCTCAAATTGGCCCAAAATTATTTTTCAGCTTTTAATATTTTAGGTTTTTTACTTTACTAATTTAAATGTATTTTGAAGAAAAGAAATCTCCTAGAAATGCTTTTAAACTATCTTGCTTTTATCACTATTGTTTTGTACTTGTGTGCCCTTAATGTTGCATATATTTGAATAGTAATTGAATGATAAATATTAATTGTGCATTATTGTATTTATGTTTCATTTTCATTGAATATTTTATTTTAGCAAAACCTGAATTAATTCATCGAGCAGACTTGAGGTTGTCGGACATAGCTAAAGAATTAGGCAATGACTGGGTACCTTTAGCTTTACAACTTGATGTACCGGAAGCTGAAATAAATTCTATACGATGCGATCATCCCGGTGACAATACACAACAAGCACTCGCTATGTTAAGGCATTGGCTACAGAGAACAGGCAGTAAAGCAAATGGTAAGAGGCATTTTATATTTATTATGGCATATCAATTTTTTTTACTTATTCTTTCTGAAATTCAAATTCAAAAATGATTTATTTAGTACTTTACTATTTATGTTAATATTTAAGTTGTAATTTGAAGTATGGCGTGAAACAGTTTATCCAGTTGATAACCAGAGATGATTGTTCTCCAGAAAAAATCCGGATTTCCGGATTTTTTGCTAACCCCGATCCAGAAATTTTGGAAATCTAGCGTCCAGAAGTTTCAAGAAATCATCGATCACATTTGTATATAAAAATTCTTGTATATTTTATTTAAAAATATTAGAACTAGAATTTATACTTGCTTTGCATCTCTTTCGCTTGTAAATATTTTTTTCAATGGGATTAGAGATAAAAGTAAACTTATACACAATTATTCATTTAAATTATGCTGCATAGTATGTATTAAGAATCTCATGTTTTGAAAATATCAATGATTTTAATTTTTAGAGACATAAATTTTTTGAAAGGCGACATTAATGATTTTACTCAAGAAATTTTCAAGGTTTTTGAGTTGGGCTCTCAATCACCCCTGGATAACTAAAGATGCAGATTTATCTTTTTATTGAAGAATTGTTTCTTTTTGATTAAAATTTTCCATTCTCAGATTATCCAGCAGTTATCTGTTGCACAAATCAAGAGAAATTTTATTTTTTGCATGTTATCTACTGAGTTAATGCTCTAAAACAAAATAACATTGATTGATTTAAATCAATGATTTCTAAGAAAAATACGATTAATCAAAATTATAGTTTACACTGTTGATTTTAGTAACATACTTTAATTGAAATTGATGACACTTTTACTTTAAATATTTTTCCCTGAAATGGTTATAGTAATTTTGATTGGCATTTTATCAAATGTTAATGTCGTAAATGTTTTCAAAATATGTTTTCACATCCACAGAGATATTCAAATAGTTTTTCACTCATTTTTTATTATCTATTTTTTATTTAGGTAATCTACTTGAAAAAGGTCTTAGAAAAATAAATCGGGAAGATATTGTAAATCATTGTATATTTAATGTTGAGTTAGTAACTGATGATGTTGAAAAAGCTGTTGCGAAAGTGCACCTTGATCAATCTGGTGAGTGGAATCAGATATTTGATGCAATCTAATTAATATGTATCATTTTCAAATAAATTATTATTTGTATTAATTATATTATTTAGGGGAGAGTCGGGTAGCCCGCCCACTTAAGGAGTATTGCTTATATTTCTGTATAATATTGAGTAATAATCAATATTTTTGTATGTTTCTATTGTTTTACCATCTAATTAAATAATGCAAAAAGAATAAACCAAAAAAAGAATAGTTTAACTTAAAAAAATAGAAATTTAAAAAAACATGTTTTTCAGCTCTCTTCAAAATGTGTCGTGTAGCCCCGCCCAGTTACGTAAATTATGTTTTTTGACTGTTTACAAATCACTTCAATCAAATTCAGGTGTATTTCACAATAGATAAACCTCATTTATCATTTTTATCACAAAATTATTTTATTTATTACATATTTATAAACTTTTAGTGAATTCTATTATTTAATAACAACAATATTTGTTAAAAATGCATATAACATTCAAATTTGAGGCAATAAAATAAATATCTATGCAACCGTACATTTATCAACAAAATAAAATTGGGCGGTGATTCCCGACATTCATGTGAGCGGGGCTACCCGAAATCCAATTTTTTTGTAAATTTGTAATTACTCGAGCAATTTTTCACATATAAACTTTTTTCTTCATGCAAATTAAACTTAAGACTACATACTTTAATGCTGTATGTATCGAAAAAAGTATTTTTTTAGTATTAAAATGAAGTTTAATCGAATATTCAACCAATTTTTCTTAATTTCATGACTACAGTATTCAACATATTTTCAAAACTATTGTTTACCATGTTAAAAGCTGCATAAATACTTGAAACTTCGAAATAATAAATTCAGGTGTATTTCACAATAGATAAACCTCATTTATCATTTTTATCACAAAATTATTTTATTTATTACATATTTATAAACTTTTAGTGAATTCTATTATTTAATAACAACAATATTTGTTGTTAAAAATGCATATAGCATTCAAATTTGAGGCAATAAAATAAATATCTTTGCAACCGTACATTTATCAACAAAATAAAATTGGGCGGTGATTCCCGACATTCATGTGAGCGGGGCTACCCGAAATCCAATTTTTTTGTAAATTTGTAATTACTCGAGCAATTTTTCACATATAAACTTTTTTCTTCATGCAAATTAGACTTAAGACTACATACTTTAATGCTGTATGTATCGAAAAAAGTATTTTTTTAGTATTAAAATGAAGTTTAATAGAAACATTCAACCAATTTTTCTTAATTTCATGACTACAGTATTCAACATATTTTCAAAACTATTGTTTACCATGTTAAAAGCTGCATAAATACCTGAAACTTTGAAAATAATCTTTTTTTAATATAACAATTAATGTCCGATGGCCTATTGACTTGAAAAAATATTCTATACATATGAAAATTGACTGTGGGCGGGGGTACCTGCTGGGCGGGGCTACCCGACTCTCCCCTACCTGTCAGCTAATTTTTTGGTTTATGTCATTCAAGACTGACAAATAAATCAAAAATAGAAATAATTTATTATTTTTTCCTTTATTTTATTACTATCCCCCCCCTCCATTATTTTTAGATTATTCCAGAAAACTCATTTATGGAGTTTTTCCATCATATTGAAAACATATATCTAAATCAAGTAACATCGAATCATCATTGAGACATATTATTTTAATTTCTTGTTCATTACTTGATTTACCCCTGTTCAATTAAGAACGAATTTTTTTAAGAGTCAGCAGAATTGGATACTTGACTTTTTTGATTTTGTTGTAATTTTCAGGATATTATCTGTATCTAAAACTATTTGGCACATTCTCAGGGTTTTTGAGGTCAAAACTGAAAATCCTCTGAACTTTTGAGAAAAATTGCACATATTTATTTGCAATGATGCATTTTATGAAGTGATTAAACCACAGTACTGACTATTATTTTGTGTTCTACATCTTCCTCTCTACTAAGGGTAGACTTTTGAATCAAAGGTCATTCAAAAGATCTCAAAATTACACTATTTTCTAAGACTTAGACCGTCAAAATCTACTAGTGCTAACCGCAATTGCATATATTTCTGTAAATATATACTAATAAGCAGTATTTAAGGAAATGAAGGTATGTGTGTTGTACATTTGGAAGTGACCTTAATTTTGCACAATTTTCAGAATCATTAACTGCCTTTATTGAAACTACACAAATATGAAATTTGCTGGAAAAGAAGCCAATAAGTATAGCAGGAATAAAATCAGTTCAATTGGTTACTGATTCAACTTTTATGCAGCATAACTTAATCAACTATTACATAGATCTGTGAATCGATATATGTGAAGGTTTCCTTTCCACCAAATTTCATATTTGTCTAGTTTTGCTGAAGGCAGTTAATGACCTTGAAAATTGTGCAAAATTTTTGTTTCTTGCTCCTTTCATACCACACCAAATGTATACCACACATGTGTTGATTTTCTAAGTACTACTTGTTTAATATTCACAGAAATCTATACTTTTGTGGTTGATTCTTGGCACAAGTAGATTTCGACGGCGAAAATCTAAGAAAATTGCGTTATTTTGAGATTTTTTTAAATTATCTTTGATGCATTGGTCTACTGAAAGTATTTATGTATTGCCAGATGTAACACAAGTAATTGTCCATGCCATGGTTAATTTATTTCATAAAAAATGTTGCAGAGTGTAAATAGATGGGGTTTTCTCAAAATTGCTAAGGATCTTCTGTTTTGACTCAGTTTCAGTTTTGAAAATTTTTATTGTATAAGTGAACAGGACAAGTGTTTAATATTTTTACATAAAATGTTACCTTAAAATCTTTTACAAAATCAAAAATTTCAAGATCCAAACCTGCCTGATTTTTAAAAAAACTGCCTCTTAAAAAGTAATAGTTTATTTATAATTTTTTATCCCTAAGCACGGCTTGCAGCTAATGGGAGCAAATTCAGTTTTTATGTTCCTTTGCAACATGATTGATATCAGACTTCAAGGGTCCTACTTTTTGTGACTATTTTAGGATTTAAATCATGTTAAAATTCACCACACTTGGCATTGGATTGTAAAATGTATGGTGAATAAGATTTTTAAAAAACTTTTAATTGTATTTTTTAAAACAACCATTCATGATAGCTTCATTAATTTTCATTTCTTTTGACAAAAAGTTAAACTTTATATACATTACCCTTGTATTTTCTCTTATACAGAGGCTTTTTTTGATTGTGTCTATTATTTTTGATTAATTAATGAGAAGCATAAATTCGTAAGGAATCTTTTACATTTTGTTACCATTTTGCCAGAACCATTTTTATTACTATTTGAATTTTATAAGAAAATCTTAAGTGTTATAAAAGATATATTCATTGGTATTCTATCCAATTTTAGGTAAATTGGGTGAAAATTGAAGTAATGAGGCAGTAGCAAATGAAACAAGGGGTATTTAAAAGTGAATAGCATTTTATACTGAAATTCATTTTTAAATATAATTAGCATGAGTGAGGTGCCCTTTTGTTGCACTGCTTGGGCAGTGAAATAGACATTCTCAGAGCCTGATATTTCCCTAGATTTTTTTGTTGTTCGAAGTTTCTCACAAAATTACATAATTTTTTTAAAGTTAAAATAACATATTTTAAATATTTTGCTGAAAATAAAGTTTACTATTAAAATTATTTGATAATTTTTTCTTTAACAAAGAAGAAAAATTCAGCTGATTTTATGCATTTCTTGAACAAATTAGCATGTATGTTAAAAGTAATAAAAAACCGAAATACATTGAAAAAGTAAAAACTTATAAAACTTAATTTAAGGTCCCATTTATAAACTTAAGGATTTTAAAATAATAAATAAAGAAATGAGGAGTAAAAAAAATTTACTGGGAAAATAATGTACATCGACAAATGTTTAATCAATGAAAAATTTTGTAGCAATTTTTTTAAATTTAGACCAAAAATTTCTCCTGAATCTCGTAAATGTCCTCTCTTGCCCCACTTTTGCTACACCATTGGCTGTGAGCTATTTTAACCTATTGAATATCTTGATGAAATGATAAATGCAAACATAAAATTGCGATTGTTATTCCAAGGGATTCCCTCCCCCAATGAAAAATTTCCCACACTTTCTTTCTCCCATTTAATAAATGAAGTTTCTTGAATACAGCTGTGTTCTGATCTTGCAAGATTACTGAATAAATTACATATTAAAATGTAAATGTAGGTTTTACCTGTTGATAAACACAAGTGAATTTCAGTCATAATTATGTAAGTCTTTGAATAATCATAAAATTGATTATAGTTCTTAATTATAAACTTAATCAATGTAATAAATTATATTTTTATTTGCATAAAATGTAGAAAAAAATGAATTGCTCAAAACGTAGAATATGTTTTACCTTTTGCCTGAGTTGTGTAATAAAAAAATTATATCTGTGAAATTTACATTGTTATTCTAGGATTTGATACATTTAAAGAAGAATTGGGCTCATCTCGGGATGCTTCTTTACGGAGGGATACATCATTAAACGGAACATTTGATGAGCAAGATATAATGAAAGTAAGCTGCTTAGTTACATTTTTTTTTGTTGAAAATAGTACCAAAAGTGGTGCCTTAAGAAATTGACTGACCGATCTTTATTCAGCTTTAAATTCAAGTAATGATTCATTGTTGAAATGTATGACTTATAGTGATTCAAAATAACTTAGAAAACAGTTCAACAGTTTTAAGTTCTAGGTTTTAGTATTAAAAAAAATTTTAAGTTATGTTTTCTTAAGAAATATTGATTTCTCCTGCATTATGGATGATTTCATTTCTTGTTTTAAGTGAAGTACAGTGAAAGTTGAAAGTTATCCATGTATGTATTTAGTTTAAATACTTAATTAAAATATAGTTTTTCACCTGGGTGTTACATACATGATTGTAATATGTAATTCAAAATAAATTAACATGCATATGTTGCAAAACACATTTAGTGCAACCATCATTATTTCTTAAATGTTTAGCTGCTTTAAGTGGTGGTCGTAAATTCAAATAACAGTTATATTAATAGTGTATTAAAAAAAAGAAATACTAAATTAAACATAGTCGTGTGACAGCCCAAGACAGGTCAAGGCTTATTGTGCCCATCCCAGTTTTTTAAATTTTTTTTTTATCTTGGGGTTCTGTAGTGCAGGAGCAGATGTTCTGATTGGGTGGTCAGGGGAATACAGAACCTCCAGTGTTAAGTCTCCAGATGTGCTTGGTTCTCGTTTTATCCCGACCAACTGAGGGGATTGCTAAAGGGATTTGCAATAAAAATGCACTTTGCATCTTTAAAAATTAAATTTATCATTAAACACTTAAATAAAATAATAAAAAGTTGGTAAATTGGAAAACATTAACTTCTTCAAGCAATTATTTCTAACATTTTAGTGTTTTTCAATGTAGTTATAGTATCTTAAAATTATGATGACTATTATACTACGTTTTTCACAACTAAGTGTGTGGGTATATCGGTTTCCATCATGTTTACCACCATTGATGTTTGTATCTCACCACTGAGTAAAATATCAATAAAGGCTTCTCATATAATTGAACATAATTTTAAAAATTGAACAATTATATAAATATGTTTTTTCTTCTAAAAAATTACTTTCATTATATCTTTTAAAATATTTGAACAAGTAAAGAGTCTCTTAGTCAAATGAATGCTTTAGAATAGTTGAAAAGAATTTTGCAAGGTATTGGTTTTTTAAGTACAAATAAATTAATATATATTTGAATTTCCTGTGATGTATATCTCAGGATTGCAGTTATTTCCTTAGTTGTTGGAAAAGATAATAGCCTTATATTACCCATTTCTTTTAAGAATACAAGTTAATTTTTACATTCATATTAATTTCCTTAAACCAATGTGAAATGTAATGTGAAATTATTTTTGTAAGCTTTATTAAGGACTTTTTTTTTTAAATATTTAAATGATAAGTAAGTGACTATGTGGCAACAGCCAATATTCAATCTTAAATTAATGAGGGTTGTGGTGTATAAATGTGTTTGCTAGTATTCATTCACATGCATAAGTTTATTAATTAATCATAATTCCTTTCAGCCTATTTCAAGTTAATCCACCTTTGTGTAAATTTGTGTCTCGGAAATTAAATTTTTTATTTTGATTTAATTTCTATAGTGAACTAAGTTCCAAAAAATCATGATTTTTCTTTAATAATTGATTTATTTTATTTAAATTGGATTATCTTAGATTTAAGTCGCAAGAGCAATTTGTTTAAATATTAATATTTAATGGATTTCATAGTTAGATAATTTTGTCCCAAATTTCATTTATATTTACATCTTATAATCAATATCATATTGATATCTAATAATCAGCCTATTTCAAGTTAATCCACCTTTGTGTAAATTTGTGTCTCGGAAATTAAATTTTTTATTTTGATTTAATTTCTATCGTTAACTAAGTTCCAAAAAATCATGATTTTTCTTTCATAATTGATTTATTTTATTTAAATTGGATTATCTTAGATTTAAGTCGCAAGAGCAATTTGTTTAAATATTAATATTTAATGGATTTCATAGTTAGATAATTTTGTCCCAAATTTTAATTATATTTACATCTTATAATCAATATCATATTGATATCTAATAATAATAGATTTAAATAAAATCACTTTTATGTTAAAGGTTATTAAAATTTTATATTTACTTAACATTTTAAAACAGATAATGCTTTATTGAAGATTTTAATTGAATATGGTGCAATGTATATAGACATTAAGCTTATATGCCTAAAAAGTTAGACATATTACTTAGCAATGGAAATTAATTGCTTACAAACATTTAAAGATAATAATTATTTGTTAACTACATCAAACATTTAAAGTTTAACCTAGAAGACGTGTTTAACTGCTTTTCAAGGCTAAGTGTGTTTCTAAATTTTGACTGGACTAAATTAACTGGCAAGAATATGTATTTAACTGCACACTGCAACTGAAGAACAAATGCATATGGGCAATTTTCTTTTTTTTCTTCCTTTTTTTCCCTTCAAAATAATCTTGGATCTATAAATTATTTTCCTATTACTGTTTTAATCTGGTTCATACAGGCAAATTTTTAGTAAATATAGTTACTACAAACAGTGTTACAATGAAATTCATTATATTATTGGTGAATTTCGCTGCCTTAAAATAAAACATAAATGCATAAAAAATTTATTTTAAAAGTGAATGTTTTGTAAGATTTAAAATCTTTTAATTTAAACAATCTTTTTCTTCATTTAAATATCTTTAAATTAATAAGCTGTGATTGTAATTAAACTTTTGTAGGATGCGGAATCAGCAGCTGAGACGAGTAGTGAAAGTTCTGATAAGGATGCTCTTTTTAGATCTGATTCAAGGCATGCTGGTAATTAAATTAGATTTAGTATTTTCTTTTTAGATTATGCGAAATAATAAATTAGTTCTTAAAATATTATTGTAAATATCTTTCTAATGGACTAATAAAAATATGTATTTCAAGTTTTAGTTTTTATTTTAGTTCCCATGTTTAAATAAACTAAAATAATTTCTTTCTCTATTTTTAATACGTTCTTTAGATTTTTCAGCAGTTGATTTGAAAGTGTACTAAAATAAATTGTCGGTATTTCTTTTATAAAATTTAGAAATTTTGTTATGTTAGATCAATAAAAACCTTATCCATGACACCTTAATTGAAAAAAGCAGTAATTTTTTAAGTTTGTGTTTTCAGGCTTCATTTATTCTGTGGCCGATTACTATCAGTAATTTATTATCATGTCTCGTTTAAAATTTTATATGGACTACATAGATAAAATTTATTTATTGTTTTAAATTAGTGTGTGTTATGACTATTTATATAAATTATTCTGAAAGAGTTTTAATTCTACAATTACCATTTAATCACATTGATATTTATTATTGGAGTTTACTGTAGCTGAAAATATTTTCATTTTTAATAACTTAGTTTTTATTACTGCTTATCATGATTTTTTTCTTTGGTTTTATTAAACTTATTTTCATAAGAAAAACATTTTTTTTTGGTTTTAATTACTCTTATGTTTTTTTGTTTTTCAAATTCAAGTGAATTAAAATCTTAATATTGAAAACATTTTATTCACAATTGCAAAACACTTTTAATTGTTTTAAATTTATTCAAAGATATTGGATATACATCTATATATATTTCTTCTTTCTGCATTTTAATGCAAAATTCGAAAGTTTTGTGTATAATTTTATAAGATATTATACATGATAATAATTCATTGATATAAGGATAGTAAAATAATTTATTTGAATATTACAGAAACAAGGGCAGAGAGGAGGCATCACAGGCATTCTGGTAGAAGTATGCATATTTATTTTTATTTACTCAACTATGATTTGAAAGTTATGATCTCTAATATTATTTTCCAAAAAAGAAATTATTTACTGAATTCCTTTCATAATATTTTTATTAAAATTCTTGAAAAAACTATTTTAATTTGTTTTTTAAAGTGACTATTTAAAAAAATTTTTTAAAAAACAAAACAAACAAAATTATGATAGTTTCTTTTATAATTAAGTATTTATTGATCAGATCTGCGATAGAAGAATTTGGATTTGAAAAATGATTTTCCGAAAAAATTAATGCTTTTAGAGATTTTTGACTTGCTTGAAAATCTTGTTTTGAAAATTTAAATAAAACTATTTAAAAAATTTAATATTGTGTGAGTTAAAATAAATATCTTTTATGGGTTTGCTCAAAATATTTTTTGTTATATTGAAGCAAAAGTCATTTCCTAAATTAGAATTGATTAAAGCGACTTCATAAGTGAGTTATATTAGAGTTCATAAGTGACTTATAAATGAGTTCATTAGCGAGTTCAAATGTATTAAAAATTAAGTGCAAAAAAATTATTGTTTCAAGGTTTTGAAGATGGGCCAGAAACATTAGTTCAAACTGTTCCTACTACAATGTCAGAATCTTTCACACAACATCTTACTAATGGACAAATGTCAGACACAAGTATGCACGAAGAAGATAGGTCAGAGCAAACTGCTGCCACTTTTTCAAGCGAAGCTAATGCTGAAATGGAGGCATCTTCATTTGAGGATAAGTCTCAAGGAGAAACACATGTTGATAAGAAAGGTAATTTAACAATTTATTTTTTAATATTAGTATATTCAGACAAGCACATATAATACCTTTATTGTCATTTGTTATGAGAATTTTTTAACGGCTGTTTAAAATAAACTTCAGTATTGATTGATTATTTGAGTCTTTTTATTTCCCCTTTTCTCCCTTGTGTGTCATCTGGCAGTAGTCCAGTCTTCTACTAATCCTTTTTAGAGAAGCCCTTTAAGTTAATTTCTTTCTGTTAGCTTAGCAAAGATTATTTATGCTTACGTTTCATAACTGACTAAAAGTCATTTCGACTGTGAAGGTGAGGATAAATTTGTTTTCTTTTTCTCTGTTTTTTGATAAAAGTTTTATTATTCTTTGCTTTTGATCTGATGGTTTTGTTTAATGTTATTTAATTGATTATTAGGCCAATATTTCTTAACACATTGTCATTGATCGGTGGCAGGTTAACTCATTTGACATAGTTTCTGTGTAAAATTGCGGCCAACAAGGTGTTAACAGTTTTTTCTTATTATTTTAAACCTCCTAAAGAAATTGAAATAAATAGTAATAATTATATTTTAATTTCACACGCCATAATCGTTTTAAACGCTTTGAATTCATCTCAAAATAATTAACTTTTGTACTGGTAGGAATTATTGAAGCAATATTTTTATGATGTGAAATAAAATTTCAAGAAAATTAGTTTTATTTGAATTGTGAAATAATTATCAATATAAAAATTAATCTATAATTTTAAATAATAGATTTAAGGTTATAATGCATAATTAGATTCACACAGTGTTTCAAAAGTCACGGTTTGTCTTATAATTAATTTTTTATAATTTATGTTGATATATTAAGTTTTTGGTCAATAAAAAAGAGGTGTCAATTTTTTCAAATCTTAAGTTTTAATTTTTTTTAAATATATAATAAAAAATACAATTCTAAGAAATATTGGTCACAAAGATATGCAGTAATTTGTTGCTTAAGGAGTTCTAGGTATATGATCTGTTTATTCATTTATCTTTAAATAGACTTTTTATGTTAATTATTAACACTTTTGTGATTTACTCGAATATATTTTGAAGGAAATTACTATCTGATAAAATGACAAGGAGGAATTTATATGTGCTTCTCTGCTAATAATTTCTTAAATAAATTTTTTATGCATGATTATTTTCGTGCTTATTTTACTGATTGATTGTATCAAAACTAACAGCTTTTGAGACTTTTTGTTAGCTCCTTACACTAATATCTATGCTCAGTTTCACTTATATATTAATTTATTTAACCATGGCCAACCAGGCAAGTGTTGCAGTGGAAATTTAAAATAAAATGTAAACATTTCTGTTGTATTACTATTTTAATTACTGCTGTAAAATATATATCGAAAATCTGCATTTATTACATTTGTGATGTTGACATATTTTTCATTGAAGTAATATCGTTAATGTAACCAGAATTTTGCACTCACAGCATCTGCATAGTTGGCCATAGATAAAATGCTTTAAAATAATAATTTTTTTCAATACCAATATGGAAAGATACAAATAAAAATTTTTCACAGTTTTAATCTAAACTAATCTAATTTTCTGAAGGAAAAAAATCGACCTTAGTGTTTAATCTATAATTATTTAGTTAGTGGAAATTGCTTTTTTTATATTACTTTTAAAAACTTAGTTTTTAATATATTATTCATAAAATCATGAATTATGTTTTTATCAAACATATATTGTGATCTTTTTATTTGATAGTACAAAAATGGTTTTTCACTTATATTTGTGTATAGTAATTGATATTATTATAAAGGAAATTTTACAAATGAAATTCAAACTAATTTTAAGAAATTATTGCCTAAAAAGCAAATATTCAGCAACTCAATATTCAGCTGAATATTCAACAAGAAAATATATTTTGGAAATATTCATTAAACATTAACAATATGTGTAAAAACTGACAAATTTTAAATACTTAAAAAAAAAAAAAAAACTTTATGTATATATATGTATATGGATTATTTTCATTATTATATACTTTCATAATCAACTAAGTTATGAAAGTTTAGTTAATGAAAGGATTTTTTTCAATTCATATACTGGAATCCCATCATTTATGACGACTTGTGTGAAACTACAAAAATTTTTGAAATCGCATGGTGTGGATTTGCATGGTTATTTCCTTTTCTCAACATTTTGTTTATTGTTAGTGCCATCAACCCAGCCCTAATCCTCTAGTTGGTTTGTTGCTGCATCGATTGCTTGGCATGGTCAGTTAATGCCAAATTCGCCTTATAATACTGTTTATATCAATTTTTAGCCTATGGTAGACATCCTGATTTCAAGAAATATGTTTACAAGACTTCATCTGATCCATTTTCTAACTACAAGGCATTTAAGTCAAGAAAGACCATTTCAATTTGCATGAATAAAAGAGTAATGGCATCTGATGCTAGTTCTTGGTCAATGACTGCTCCATCTTCTTCTAGAAAGAGGAAAATAGTCACAAGAAGAAAATCATGGCCACCAGATGCACCACACAAGTTAAATGTTAGAAAGAAATATCAAAATTTGAAACTTAAGGATGCTTTTGAGCCTTTTTGGACTGACACTTATGAATGGGCTATTATGCAAAGAGGTCCAGAAAGCATCAGACCAGCTCCTCTTGCTAGACTAGCTGAATTCACTATTTATGAAAAATACAAAGTTAAACCCTACAAACCTAATGCTCAAGCCAACTCTTATCAGGCGTGCGATAATTCTCAATCAGTAAAATTGAAGGCCGTTGATGTCATTGGATTTTATTTTACTAAAAAGGAACCACTGAAAGCATACTCACAAAAAAATTATTTAACAAACTTGAAAAAAATGTGTGCGGCTGATAATAAAAATTGTGCAGTCCGGGAATTAAATCAGACCAATTTTATTTCTGACGAAAACTCTGTCAAAAATATTCCATCTAAAACAATTAAAAGTGAAGTATCTAAAAATACAACTGTGCTGGCTACAAATCGCAATGCTTCTGTAAAATTTGAGAACAAAGAAGTTTTGAATCAGAGTCTTTCTAATAATTTAAGTCATGAATTTGGTTTTAATGACAGAACTTATGTCTCACATCCAGAAAATACTAGTTTTGGCACACCATCTGTCAGGCAATTGCATTCTTTCAATTCAGATTTATCTGGTAATGTGGCTGTGGAAAGACCAGTGATATATTTAGATGATGATATATTAAATATTAAAAATAAATTCATTTCTAAAGGTGTTGTTTGGAACAAAGAAAATATTAAATTTGAAAACTTTTCAGACTCTAAAATGTCTAATATTGGTGAAAAATGTAAACCTCATACTTGTACTGAGGTTGCAGTTAAAAATCAACAGATACAAAAGTCCTTCAAGCCTCAAAGTAAGAAAGTGAAGTTAACTGCTATCGACTGGCCAGAGTTTGATAGACCTGAAATCAAGTTTAATAAATCGTTTAAAAATAAAATTAAAGGTAGTCCGCTTGGTTTTGAAAGTAAAGCTCCTCAAGATATGGATACTGATTCTAAAAGTTCTGGTAAAGTGTCTAAAACTGGAAAGGATTCTTCATCTCAAAGTAGTAGCAGTTCTAACCCATCTACTTCACAAGAAGTTCCTACATCAACTTCATCTCAAACACCTAGTAATCAAAATAATAATAACAAGCCTTATCTGAGACAACTGTTTGAGCATGATATTCAGTCAAATTTTGAAAGTTTAAATAAAGATAAAGAATTTGATAAAGATGTTAAGAAACCTGATCCTAAGAAAAAGGAAACTGAAAGTGAAAAATCTTCAACATCTAGTTCTACCATTCCTGCTAATGTTGTGGGATTTGATTTTTTGACTACTCTTCAAAAGCGAACTGATATTGGGGAAAGTTCAGGTGAAAAATTCCCAGCTTCTGTTATTGGTCAAGCATTTCTTGATAATCTTGCAGATCAAAAAGACAAATATCATGGAAGCAGTTCAGAAGCGAAAGCAGTCCCTTCCTCTGTTGTGGGACTTTCATTTTTGAAATCTTTAGTTGAAACTGTTACATCTTCTGAGTCTGATGAACAACCATTACCTGCATCAGTAATAGGACAGTCATTTTTGAAAAACCTATTAGAAAGCCAGTCAAATATGAAAGCTGATAATTCTAAATCTCAGCAGGTACAAGAGTCTGAAAATCCTCCTTCAGAGCAAACTATTCCAAGCTCTGTGATTGGGCAGGCATTCTTAAAAACTTTAGTTGATACTCAACAACATGTTGAAAAAAGAGAAACTCCTAAACCTATTCCATCTGAAGTGCTTGGCCAGACATTTTTAAAATCTCTTCTAGTTGGATCTAAAGATACCAATGAAACAACGATAAGCAAAGTTGCAGTATCTCCTGAAAAGCAAAGTTCATCAAGTAGTGTACCGGCTACTGTTATTGGCCAATCATTCTTGAAAAATTTATTGGAACAATCAGCTGTTGCTGAAAATCCAAATATACATTATGCACATCCTGTAACTGTTGTCGATGAAACTGTAGCTAAAGACAATCCAAAACCTGCTATAGATATTACTTCAAAACCATTGCCTGCAGCTGTCATTGGGCAGTCGTTTTTAAGCACATTATTAAGAGAAACTGAAATTGAAAGTAGTGGCGAGAAAAATGTAATTCCTGCTCCTGTTATTGGTCAGTCATTCCTAAAAAACCTACTTGAAAGTGAAACCTGTTCTAAGCCTTCTGATGAGGGTACAAAAGAGATACCAGCTCCTGTCATTGGTCAGGCATTTCTAAAGTCATTGATTGAAAGTCAAACTTTGCAGCAACTTGAAACAGGGGAAAAATCTTCAGATACTACTAAAACTGTACCAGCCACTGTAATTGGCCAATCATTCCTCAAAAACCTTCTTGAAAGTGAATCCTGTTCTAAGCCTTCAGACGAAAGTACAAAAGAGATCCCAGCTCCTGTTATTGGTCAAGCATTTCTAAAATCGCTCATTGAAAGTCAAACTTCACACCAACCTGAAACA